ACACTGCCATATATAAATTTAATCAGAAGTAAGATCATAAAGTAGAAGATATTTATATGTAATATAAAATTATGATATGTATATAATAGGCAATCAGAATTCATTGTATTCATTTGAATCTTGTAATTTATGTTACAATATGTTTTCCATAGACAAGTACAACTTTAGTTTCAATATTGGGAGGCAGGACTCCTTGTGGTACTGCATTAGCAGTGATTATCCTGAGGGTATAAGGAGCAGTTATTTACTGTGTATTACTAATGAAAAAGGTTTATATAGTATGAATTTGCATTTACTGATTTACCATATTTCATGAATTAATGTTTGTAAATTAATAGTATTTTCCTGTTTTTTTTTATAGGCAATTTTTACATTCTTTAATTGGATTAGTTTAAGTACTTTGGTTTTTGTATTTTGCTTTTAATTGATCAATGTTCAGCCAGAAAGTGGGAGGAAGAACACAAAAAGTATTACAGCAACTTTAGGTCTTATAAGTACATTGCTGCGGTGATGGAGTTGCTTGGGAGCTGCTGCTACTACATCTTCAGTGATGTCGAAGTGATAGTTTTTTCGCCAATAATGTTACACAAAGTAAGATATATACAATGTTTTCAGAAATGAATTATGCTACTTAAGCACTTTAATAAAAAATGTAAGTAATAAATTAGTTATCATTTTTTTTATCGTTAACATTAAATTATTTTTATTAGGCGCCAGCTGCATTTGGACTTGTGGCATTTTCTTCTTCATGAAGGTGTAGATTAGAAAGGAAAATTAAGCAGAAACACTTATTAATTTTCTCTCCTTGCGACCGTTGTCTTGCACTTGGACATATTTGGAATTTGGAAAAGTGAGTAATTGTTAAACTATGTTTGCCATAATAACTTTTTATATATATTTGAAGATATTTCTACACAAAGTTTATGTAAACAATATTGTATGAAAGTATTACATTTAAGTATAGTAAATCTATATTTTGAATAAGGGCACTTTTACGATATTATATCCTTTTTTGTCACTTAAAAAGGAAAAAAACTTTAAGAGATTTCCAATTTATTGCAAATAAATAATTTAATTTATAATTAATTAAACAATTAAATTAAAGTTTATTAAAATGAATTTGTTGAAATTTAGTTACAGATATGAGTAATACTAATATTAACCCTAAATTAATATGTAAAGTTATATTGCTCATAAATTAATCTCATCTAAATTTAATTTAAATATTTGCAATTTTAAGTAATATACAAATAAAAACTTGTATCAGTAATATGAATATAATTTCGATTATTTTAAGCTAAAAAATCTTGGGACCTTATTATTGTATCTAAAACATCCAACAATGTAAAGCGACTTTTTATTAAAGGACTTTAATATCTATATATCTTACTTTACAATTCGGAATTAAAAAAATAAATAATATTTTTAATGTTTATTAAGGGCTATCCAGTATTTTCCTTTCTATAATATATCTAAAATCCTTTCTATAATATATCTAAAATCATTGAAATAGTTGATCTGATAATTTTCTAACTAAAATAGGTTGAAAATTGATTGGAGAACCTACTTGTTTTAAAAACTCTTCAAAATAATCGTTTTACAGTACATTTTTCAGTATTACTTATTAATTATTATAATATTGTTACATTACGGTTACATAAAGATTTCATTATCTTGCCTACATATTTTTTCTTCCTATTTCAAATTAATATTTTAATTTTGTTAAAGAGTATATGGAATGTATCGCAAGATGTGTACACACTACAGTTACATCCATATGCGCACTATACTTGTTTCTTTGCTTCTATACATATGTTATATTGTTTAATAGAAACATTTATTATCTGAAAAGAAAAAATGTTCCTGCTGATGCACAAAAGCATAACCATATACTGATATATCTAAACATTTATAATACTTGCTCTGTAGAATGACATAATTTAGAGTAAATACTTAAATAAAATGTGTTAGTATTTTGTTTTATATTATAGAAACAAATTTGATGCTAAAATTTATATAATGAAGTACATAAAATTACTCTTCTTGCTACAGTATGCTTATAAATATCCAAACTGTCGAAACGCAATCTCTGCAATGACAATTGTTGTAAATATATGTATGCAAAACATATTGGTGCAAGTTGGAAAAAAATGCTTCACGATTTAGAACAGATACATTAGAAGCAATTGTATTAAGCATTTAACGAATAAAATCATTTATATATTATTTATTAGCCCAATATTTTTGTTATTAAATTACATAATTTTTGCTTAATAGATACCGATTGTAATGAAATAACATACAGTGCACAAGATAGTTAATCAATATATATTATAGAGAAACAATAGAAAATGCGGGTACTAATTTTAGATATTTTTTTAAAGAATGAATGTTATTTGTATATATTTCCTATCGATATATACAAATAAAATTTTTATGGATTTTTTTTTAAAATTTAGTCCTTTTATTCTATGCTTACATTATTTCGATGAGCTTGAATGTAACATCAGTTCATATACTTTTTGTTTTTTAAAATTCTTGTTAGTTTGGTATGTGATACAAAATTTAATTTTATTATTTAATCAATAAAAAATTTTGCATTGTTGCAGGAAGGAAAAGAAACATTGAGTAGTGTCAATGCGACTGGCTTGGCTATGCTGTTTAGTGCTGGAACATTTCTTTATGTAGCTACTGTACATGTTTTGCCAGAATTAATGACAAGAAGTAGTAATTATTCACATTTATCAAACGAAGGTACAACATCATCTGGACTTAAAGTTAAAGAAATATTATTCTTGGTAATAGGATCATTTTTACCTGCTTTGATCACAATTCATCATCATTAATTAAAATAAGTATCATATAAAAAAATTTTTTTCACATCTATGTTTAAATAATATATATAATGTTTAAAAACTTATTATTCTAATTTACAAATCTTTATTTATATAACATAAAATTATTTTAAGACTATAAGAAATATATTGTTGAGAACAACATATATATATACTGAGAAAAAAAAATCACATAGATATACTTGTATTTTGTAACAAGAAATCTATTTTTTTATAAAGATATGATTTTGATTACCAAACAATTTGCATTCAAGATGTATATATTTGTAGACTATTTGAGCAAATCTGTTAAACTAGTCACTTTTTAATTCTAATACAAATACTTTTGATTGTCTTTTACATTATACATATAATATAATGACACTTTTTGCATTAATACTGTATTATGAAAAACTTAGTTGTCAAACTTGTTTATTTTATCGTAAAAGAATTACATTTCTTAAATTGCAAAATATAATTCTACAAGATTATTTTTAAAGTATAAATATAATAGTGCGCTACAGCAAACCTTATCACATCATAAAATATGTCATTAGAACTGGCATTGAATGCAACAAAGTGTAGTGTTTATATATATATATATATATATATATATATATATATATATATATATATATAATTTCGAAAATTTAATCGACTTATAATAGAGTGGTCTGAGCATCATGATAGACAGGCGAGCGTCCGCTGTAGAGAGAAAGAGGTATTATATTGGAGGCTATTATGTCTATCTCTTTTGCTAACATTTCATTAATAATTTTCATCGATATATTGAAAAAACTACCAGGCATGCTAGCAAGAGAGACAAAATAAGTTTCATATGTATAATATCTCTCTGTCTCTCTCTTCTCTCTCTCTCTCTCTCTCTCTCTCTCTCTCTCTCTCTCTCTCTCTCTCTCTCTCTCTCTCTCTCTCTCTCTCTCTCTCTACAGCGCTCTATCGCGATGCTCAGTCCATTCTATAAGATGGTTGATGGTTACTCTCTCCATTATTATGCTTTGACGTATTTGGCGACCCGAATCAAACATCATTAGTCATATATCATAAATGATGATGAACATTCAAATCGCCTAAAAACCGTAATGACTGACGAAATCATTGAAGAAATCCACAATGCAATGCTTCTTCAGGGGAGTAAAGAGAAATTTATTAAAAATTTCGAATTGATATTTAAATATATACTGATCAAATATGTAGACCGTATATAGACCAAGGAAAATTTATGCCTCAGGCATAATTAATCGGTTTCGTCGAGAAATTAATTTTCGATGAATCTGATACACTACTATCAGCGTTTAGTATTTGCTGTGAAATTCAAATTTATATTTCACATATAGAGCCATTTAATTTCCTAATGTTAATGTGTACTTTATTTAATGTATCTAATAAGTTTTTATATACATAATTATATATACAAGTAATGTACTCATATATTTTTTCGTATTATATGACACAGTAAAAGGAATTAAATGGCGCATGCATGGCGCACGCTTTGTAAAAAATATTCTAGTTCAAGATAAAAAATAAATTTTTTTTTGTAACTTTGTTCAATTATATAATTAGAAATATTATGTGAGCATAATAGCTCACATAGAGAAATAACCCTGAACACATCTGTGTTCTTTAAACACACAAATTTAAGAGTAATATTCAGTCAGAAATATAATATTTTCTGTATTTTTAATATTTTTTTATTCTATTAGTAATAGAGAAAAAATAAAGAATATATTTTATAAAATTAAAATATTATTTAGCTAATACAAGTTTTATTGTTAATCAAATTCTATAAAAGAATTTTTTGCTGGAGTAAATATTATTTTTCCTAATATTATTTTTTCTATCTTAAATTTTCAAACATATTTGATATAAAACTACTGTGACTAATTTATAATTGTATCTGCTATCTAACTAATTTGTAATTGTAATTGTAATTTGTAATTGTATCAGGTTTACTAAATTATTCTTTATAAATACGTTACACATTCAAATATTTAATTATAAATAATTACGAATATCTTTTTTTGAATTACATTCTTATCTTAAAATCCAAGTTAATTTTTCCCAAAACTATATATAATTATGTATTCAAATGATTCACTTAAAACTTATTTGATCCAATTTTTTGATTAATCATCATTTATGTCACGTTACTCAATAGTACCCAATTGACTAACATCAAGAAACAGTGACGTTATCTTTCTTGGGGTAAGATGATTGCATCCACATTGTCTTTATCATATCAGCGCCCTTTTCACCAATCATAATGACAGGCGCATTTATGTTGCCGCTAGTAATAGTCGGCATAATTGACGCATCAATAACCCGCAGACCTTCGATTCCATAGACTCTCAATTGCGGATCCACAACTGCCATAGGGTCATTAGACGGGCCCATCTTAGCGGTGCAACTCATATGATATATTGTCATAGTATACATGCGTAAAATGCATTCCCAATATTCATCCGTATAAAGTGGAATGTGCTTGCAATTGGGTAATTGTTTGCTATAAAATCTAGAACCGAATCTTTTCATACTGCTCATTTCACCGAAGGCAATGGCCGCTTTAACACCCTCGCGAAGTACTGCCACATCTTCTGGATGAGTGAGATAGTTGTGATAAAGCAATGGATAATCTAAAGGATTTTTAGATTTCAGTCTGATATAGCCGCGCGATTTAGGTCTAAGCATCATTGGAAACACTCCGAAAACATCGCGATTGTTGAGTTCACTAAATACTTCATTGTAGAATTCGTCAGTTAAACCATGAGCATGCTTTACATGATTGCCACCATCGGAGTTCACTCCCGAAGACGTCAACATGAACTCGATATCGGGCCAGTCGGTCTGATTGACATATTTGGTGGCGATAAAACCGACCGCCTCGAGACCGATGCTGGATGTCAACGGACCATCTTCGGTGATGGCGTATTTCAGTGCAGAATTGACGTTTACCATTCGATTCATCACGATGCTGATTTTATAATCGATCGGAAAAACGAGACCGCCAATTGCTATGTGATCCTGTAGATTTTGTCCAACCCCAGGTGAATCTTGAATTACAGGAATTCCTAATTGCTCCAGATGGACACGTGGTCCTACTCCTGAGAGCATTAATAATTGCGGACTATTGATAGAGCCGGCGGAGAGAATTATTTCTTTTTTTGCAAATACTATCTCTTTACGACCATTTCTAATAAATTCTACTCCGTACGCTCGTTTGCTCTGCGAATCTATTAGTATTCGAGTTACATGACTCCACAGTGAAAGATGAAAATTTTTTCTCAGCTGAATAGGTCGCACAAATGCTTTAGCAGCGCTGCATCTAGCACCTCGTCGCATTGTAAACTGAAAAAAGGCGAAGCCGGTTTGCTGCTCGCCATTGACATCGCAAATATCGTAACCCATCTCTTCGCCAGCCTGAAGAAACGCTACGCCTAATGGAGTAACATAAGGGCTGTCTTGCACAGTTAGATATCCTCCTGGAAAATTAAGAATAATAAAAATAAAAAAGTATTTATATTTCACATAATACATGATTATTATACAGTGGTAATTGAAGTATACGAACCTGTGCCATGATATTTTGTATTACGTGCCAAATATGGATTTCTTTGGTCCTCGGATTTCATAAAAAACGGTAGCACATCTTCGTACCCCCAACCAGGATTACCAAAATTTCGCCATTGATCGTAATCTCGTCGATTTCCTCGGACGTACAACATAGTATTTAAAACACTGCAACCTCCAAGGACCTAAAGTATTTAATCGATTGAGTAGATTGAGTATGAATAATCACATAACTGCAAAATGAGTTTTTTAACCTGTTTTTTTTTTCGATAAGAATTATTTCTAATCTCGTAATATAATTAATATATACAATATAATAGATATTATATTTCGATTACAAGAAATTGTAATATAATTGTAGAAATCAGGAATTATTTTCCAATTTTGATTGTATATTATATATATACATAATACAATCATAATATGTATATACATTTGACATTTCGTACACAGTGCTTGAGATTTTTACATATATATACACACACACACACACATATATATATATATACAGGATGCTTCCGCAACATACAGATCGGTAAGTCGGGTTGCCTATCTGATGATCGGTCTTCTTTTACCGACCTCGCATAATTGAAAAATAATAAAATCAGAGGATCGATCATGTAATATTTTTTTCGTGAAAAGTGAAAAAATTCCTTGATTGATACCTTGAATGCAAATCCGTAGGGAATGAGGAAAGTGAAATCAGCTTTTAACATTGATATAGTGTAATTGTAATATTTAATAACATAAATAACATTATATTTAATAACATAAATAACTTAAATAACATTAATAACATAAAATGACACAATTGAAATATAATAACACAGATAAAATATAATGAATTTAAACAAAAAACTATTTTTTAATGTTCACAATATATGCTCAATGTAACAGCCATTCTCTTCTAAACATAAAGCAATCCTCCGCATAAAATTTTTCCTTATTCTCCGAATTATCGGAAGAGTGATTTACGCAAACGCGTTTCGAATTTTATTTTTAAGATCTTCTTTATATAATGTTATTAAATATTACAATTACACTATATCAATGTTAAAAGCTGATTTCACTTTCCTCATTCCCTACGGATTTGCATTCAAGGTATCAATCAAGGAATTTTTTCACTTTTCACGAAAAAATATTACATGATCGATCCTCTGATTTTATTATTTTTCAATTATGCGAGGTCGGTAAAAGAAGACCGATCGTCAGATAGGCAACCCGACTTACCGATCTGTATGTTGCGGAAGCACCCTGTATATGATAATACATGCCATCTTTATAAGATATCTTTATGTTCGATAATTAATATTAATTTTTAGAAAAAGGGAAACCTATATTTGTAAACTTCAAACTGTTTATGCGCTAAAATATTTATATATATATATATATAAGAATTCAATTCAATATCGGATTGACATTTGATAATTATTTAGGATCATCTCTCGATTTCAATAATTTTGAAATATATCAAGACCATCATTGAATAATATTGATCCAAGTATAAAATGAAATGAACGAAAGTTGGCATCGACATCATTTTCTTTTCCTTTATATCGATCTTCTGTTGATTTTTACGAAAGTGCGCCTCGAATCGATGTTAACTCTAATCAATTCGAAAACCATATATCGTCGTATGTAAATAGTAATCTTTTAATTTTAGACAAATTTAGAAGTTTGGACACAGATAACTCAGAAACAAGCCATTCTTATGACAGAATAATTTAATCAAAATTAATTGATTTTCGATATCAATTTCGATTCAATAAATTTTAGATGAATCAAAATGACGTTGATTCCACATTAGCCTTTTCACTATTATTATTGTATTTGTATTATTATATTTGTACATATTATTATATTGATATTATTGGCTTTCTCTCTCTCTCTCTCTCTCTCTCCTCTCTCTCTCTCCCTCATAATCATAGTTTTGTAATAATTATCAAAATTACCTTGCCCCTAGTCCAACAACATCGATGATCGGTCATAGCTTGACAGGCTGTATTTTGAGGCTCTGTCTGATATTTCCAATCAAGTTTACTTTTATGCAAGTATAGAGATAGTATTGGCACATCAGTTATCTCTGTTTCATGACCTCCGGCCTCTAGTAATAGCACGTTCCATTTTGGATTTTCGGTCAACCTATTGACAACTACGCTGCCGGCCGAACCTCCGCCGATAATAACAAAATCGTAACTTTTTTTTAATTCCTTCGTAACGCGCGGATGATTTTCCGGATCCATGAGATCATAATTGAAGTACATGAGTGCGACAATCAATACTGGGATTATAGTAATCTTGCTGATGCTGACCCCGAGTACGATGGACGCTGCTTTTATGGCATCGACTATTGTTGTGACATTCATTTTTCTTACTAGTTCTCCAATATTAATTTTATTTAACCAATATTAATTTTGTCCAAATTTTTTAAATAGTCAAGTTTACGAATATTTTTGCTTCTTTTTTATTATTAAATATTTTGAATTACATTTTATAAAACACCTCTTTGAGAAAGTCGAACTGAATAGGATAAATTCCAATTTTTATCGCTATTTCTTATTACTTTATTTTACTATACGTCTTTTTTATACTCTTGTGCTTATATTGTAATTATAAATCAATATATTCGTAAAAAATGCAGGATAAGGAAAATTAATTATTATATTAATATGTGTAAATAGTACTTGTAACGTCATATATCCGATACATCATTATATTAGGAAGATTTCCGAAATATTTCTCTTTGATATTTTGCGAAAATCTGAAAACATAAAGTAAAAATTAATTATTAGAATAATTAATTTTGCAATAACAGTACTCAAAAAGAAAAGAAAGAATCGAGAATGTCTTTTGTCAATTGTAATGAACATATAGTGTGCTGTTAAGGTATGCTTACACTATCATTTTTATTGATATATTGACTACTTCTTCTATGTCTGATTATCTTATGGGAACGTATTTAGTATATATCTTTATAAGACAAGTTTGTTTATAAATAAGATGACAATGGATTGCTTAGATCATATTCTTATGATATATACCCATACTGAACGAATTCAAACAGCAGAAAAATCTTTTTAAATTTAGTCCTTCTCTATATAATAGCGAGAGGATTGATTGTGTGTGTGTGTATTTATGCATGTGTCCGGCTTATTACACAATATAGAATTGCATATTCTAGCAAGATCAATGAGAAGGCATATGCTTTACCTCTTACCTCTTATGCAAAGTATAAATTATAAATAGAATGTATCTGTTGGCAAATGATTTGCTTAATTATATCGATTGTTTTCATTCGAATTTTGCATCATTTAAATGATGGTGTTGCATCATTATCTTGAAACTAATATGATTAGTTCTTAATTCGCTTCCACTTTTCTATAATTTATTTGCAATTTACTGTTTTTCTGACATACTTTATAATAAGCTTTATACTAATTTACTGTTTTTCTGACATACTTTATAATAAGCTTTATAATTCTATATATGTTATTTTCTAAGTATTAAATGTTTTATATTTTTATTATCTAACAAACTTTCTGCTGATGTATCTTAATCCTCCTTCTTCAAAAAGGAATATTATATTAAAGGAATATTATATTAAAAAGGAATTATTTTCTAATAAATAAATAAATAATATTGCTATATGTGTTTTTTCGTTTGTCGTTACGCGATAAAATCGGACTTAATTTCAGAGACTCTATAATAAGAGTCTCGCCATCAAGGTGATAATGAGTGGATGTATATTTTAATAAAACGATTATTATATAATTCTTCTGAAACGTTTATTTTTTATTTATGTTGTTGAAATATAATGTTTATATTAAGTGTATGGTTTGTATCTGTATTAAATACGAGCGAGAATTGTCCAGATACTAGATGATCAATCAAAATTGGATATCACATGGCAAGACTCTTATTATGTCTTAGTCAATTAGACACTTACCAGGTCTCTAATTAATTCATATTAAAGTTTTTGTCATAAAATGCATATGAAAGGTGGGCACTAATAAGATTCAAAAAATCTATTTCAACTTTGACAATATAATTTCTAATACAATCTCAACAAAAGATTTAAAACATTAAATAAATTATTTTTGAAATTAAAGTAATTTATTAATAAGTATTAATAAGTATCGAGTAAATGGAATAAAGTCTATTTACTTATTTGAAGCAAAAAAATTTGAATTTCTATATAAATAAAAAATTGCGAGAGTTTCATAAATAAAATATATATAATTTTTATTTTATTTGTTTAGAAATCAATTTTATGATCGATTCTATGAATTAATTATAAATAGACTATAATTATAATATAACAATAATATATAACATATGTTATATATTATATATTAAATTTATGAATGGGGGAAATTACAATTAAACACACACACACACACACACACACACAATATATATACGCGCAATGCACAATATAATACTTTTATATAGTACTTGTTTTATATATATTACATTTTATTTTATTGTTCTCATATAACATATTAATATATATTTATTAAGTGAGTGAGTTACTGACAGTGACACAGTGACAAGCAAATAATAAAAATTAATTTTTAGCAAAATTAAACAATAATTCTAAAGCGTACCTACAGTGACAAAATGAGTAATTATAAACAAAAAGAAATATGCACAAAAAAATAAATACACAAGTAGGATATAGAAAGAGGTAATACAAGTAAATATAAAAATTATAATGTTTCAACATCTCAGGAATGAAAGTAGAGTGTCACATAATTCAAAGAGCGTATTATTGCGTCCTCTATAATATGTAAAAAGGAAAGTGATGCATGAGGTGCAAGTTAATGTACACATTTACCGTCATTACTTTATAATTTATTCCAGAAATTAAGGAAAAAACTGATATATCTGATTAAATGTGTAAATCATTTAAAACTTTACTTTCTATAATTATATCAAAAATAAAATAATTTGTCATATAGTTTTTGTTAACTTTTATCTGGAAAAAATTCTAATCTAGTTAAACAAACTAATTTCTGTTTTCTAAGTAAAATTAGGTTTGAATTATAGAATTGAATTTTTTGAGGAGAGGAAAAAAAGGTGCAGAAGAAAAGCGTCTATCCTGTCCATGCCTGTCCTGTACCTTGTAAAATATTTTACTTTACAAAATACAATAAAATTTATCGTCTTTCACGTAAATTAGAAGTTTATTTTCCCTTACATGTAAATCTTTTGTTTCAGATCAAATGTTGCAAATTTATGTAAAATTATACAATTAAACATTTTTTGACATAATATGTCAATGTCAAAAAAGCTAATAATTGAATTATTATTTGCCTATATAATATTTAAATTATATTATTTTTAAGTTAAAATAAATTTAAGTTAAAAGGTAAAAAATTTTGAAGTAATATATCCTAGAAATTAAAAAATTCCGCAATATGATTCGTGAATTAAAATATAAACCGCTGATTTTTCAAACATTACAATAATCTATAATAAATAAAAAACAAATAATTAGAGTATTTTTAGATTTAATATGTATTTTATTTCGAAACTATCAAACATAGAGTTCTCAGAAGAAAGCAAAATTGAATTCAGAAATTAGACAATTGATATTCTAATCATGATCTTTGCATAACTAATGAATTTGAAGTATTTTTGAAATGAAATTTTTTATACGTTGAATATTTTTTCCTTTTAAGTAAATAATATAAATATAAATTGAATTCGGAAAATTATAATCTATGAATAACCCAAAAAGAAAATCAGAAAATATTAAAATTTTGAAATGACAAATCTAAGTACAATTAGATATTCGAAAGATTTATATACAATGTTGATGCAATTTAAAAAGATAGCTTACTACACACATAGAGTTACACACAACAAATATAAACGCATACATGCACACACACACACACACACACACACACACACACACACACACACACGCACGCATATGTACATAGACACACTTAAAACTCAACTACAATAAAACTCTCTCTTCTATAATTAATTTTTTTATCAATTATGCCTATTTTTTGCATGCAATATTTTTGAAAGATTAGTTTTTATAAAAATGTGTATAGATGTATAAATATATCCTTGGAAAATTCGTATTATTATTTATACGTATTTACTATTGTTTTTTGTTATATTTGTTTAAAATACAAAGTGTTTCATAAGCTTATCAAAAATTCATATTTATTAATCTTTTAGTTAATTTGTATTTGGCATTTATTTAACGAAAACATTGGCATTTATTTAAGAAAGAGAGAACATTATTTATTTTTTATTTTCTATTTTCTCAATATTAAATATGTTTATATAGCACGCGTGCGCATTAAGATCGTATGGACACAAAATCATAGATCTATTAATATAAAATTTACTCGAAAATAAATAAAATTTAACTTTGCATTGCTTTTAAAAAATTTTGTGTATACTAGTATTATAGTATAATATTATAATATGTGTAATTATAAAATTAAATTACATACCAATGAAAACACCATGTTTTTTTTTATAACAGAAGTCAACTAGATTCCTTTGCAACACTAACAGTACAACATTTCAATGAATATAGTGATGTTAATCCTATTAAAAGCACTTCCAGAGAAAAATCGAGAGCACGTGACGCGATCGAGTAGTTCGTCGTGGCGGAGAAAGCGAAAGACTGAAACTCAAGCATTACGTTGAACATGTTACGCGATCTTACCGCACAACCTTTCTCTTAATCGATGAAATACGTGAATAATCTTGCTCTTGGGCAATAATATTAAAAATATTAAAAAGTATAATAAGATAAAAATAAGTAAGACTAATATATTTGATTTATATTTAAATATATTTGAATAAACATCCAATTGTATATTTTCTAAAATTATTTATATCATGGATATATTTAAGAGTTTATTGGCTTATTTTAATAAATAAACAAAACAATTGTCTCTAGCTATGACTTTAAATTGACAATTTATTACAAGCAATTTTTTACAATTTATGCAAGTGTATTTCAAGCATATATATATATATATATATATATATATATATATATATGCTTGAAATATACTTGCATTACGTACTACTGCATTACATACTATAAGCGTACGAGCTACTCGTAGCTCGTAAGTGGTATGTGATACAAATGTATGCAAATATATACATGATGTATATATTTGTATACATTTGTGTATATTATGCTTTTAATAGCTTGAACAGTATTTTGCAATAGTTATTTCGACTTTATTATAATTATAAGATAACATTTTAATGAACATTAATACATATAGTATCCGATAATATAACTGCATCATCTCTCGTATTTATGCAACTAAAATAGGTAAAACTGAATAGAAAAATCCTTTTTATTTTCCGATTTTCGTGATTAACAAAAAATTAATTAAAATAAGAGATCGATCAATTTATGCATCATCGTGCAAAGAAAAGTAACAGCGATTACTATTACTCGATTACTAAGCGCGCGACAAAGCGACAAAGATTAAAAGAGTGCTCTAAATTATAACAATACTATTATAGCAAATTATAACATACATATGAATTGTGTCTAGCGATAGGGCCTCGAGTCTGATAGCACATAATAACGAGCTATCTCTTTTGCGCGTAATTATAACGAATTGGTCCATCTTTTTTAATTAACTGCTCATTAACTTCTAATTAATACAAAAATCAGAAAAGTAGAGGATTTTTATTTCTATTTTACTCGTTCTACCTATACATGAGAGATGATACGATTATTACGAGACACCTTACATATTGTGTGTGTTTTATATAATATCATATAAATCAAAATTTTTTATTTTATATTAATTGTAAGATTAAATATATAGAGAGTTACATGATAATATTGATCGAAATAAGAAAAAGATAAATATGAGTCCTGAAACAAATACCTTTTAACTTTATATTTTAGGCATCTACCTATATTTATATTATAGATTTTATTTTTTTATCTTTTTTATTGTATGTTATATTCCATTTATTTATTTATTTTTTCAGTTTTCATTGTGTCATTTATTTATTTTAGTTATTGACGATGATTCTAAATGGGACCAAAATATTTAATTACTAATTATTAAATTTAATTATTACATTTACTTAATATTTATTAAGAAATTTTATTATTTTTGTATCTCATGCTTGATTTTTATTAGTCTTAATTTATTTTGTATTAATCTCGGAACTTTATATTGATTTATATGTACTTTTTAAAATCACACATTTTATATTGAATTATCATATGGTATTTATTTTATTATTGCAAGAAATAAAATATTAAATAATCAAATAAATAATCAATCAAATAATCAAATAAATAATCAAATAAATAATAAAATAACGAAAAAAACAATTATACACGTGCATATATAGACGGAACATGCATATGAATGCGCGTACATATATATACATATAGAATAATAAAAGATATTCAAGAATATTAAAGTTAAAATAAAACACTGAAATATTAATCAGCAAAAATCTATGTTTACTGTAAAAAGGTATCTAATCGATTTTATTATCATATCTCAGCTACAATGTTTTCATAAGTATAATTTAATCATTGTATATCATCATAACATCAATAGGGTAAACTATTTTAAATAATTCATTTTTATTTTGCCAATAGGATTGATTTTAGAAAAATAATTTAAATATAAAAATGACAAGATTTTAAAGAGGGAAGTAATATTTTGATCTGAATAGTAATAATTGATCTAAATGAAAATTATGTAAAAATTATCTTCAATTTATTTAAATAATATAGATGCACTTTCGATTTTACGACTAAAGATATTAAGCGACGTCGTATGTACAAAGAACTGAATCATCCAACGTTACTGCTTTCGACATATCGAGGCATCACTAAAAGTAGCTTACCTGGAATTTTATGTCAAATAAATTTTCGACTAAAATACTTCAGAAACTAAAACTATAATAAAATACCCAATTACAACACTTTTCTAATATAATGTAGATACAAGCTTTCCATTGCAGCCAATTAATAATAATAATAATGTTAATTGGGATAATAATGACTATAAGTAAAAGAGAGAAAGTGTGTTTATGTGTGTGTGTATGTGTGTGTACGTCCGCATGTGTGTACGTGTCTGTGCGTTTTATCATGTGTATCAGCTCATCACAGGCGTCCCATATAAGCGTCCGCGTCTAATAGTGCTGTTTGAAATTTTTTTTATTTTCGATAATTGTTAAATTCTATTTATTAAGTTTTTTGTATATAATTTATTCTATATCATATAATCTATACTATTTTAATCTATATTAATCTATATTATATAATCTATATTAAATACGAGAGAGATCTATATTAAATACTTAAAATTATTTTATATTTCAATATTGTGAAAACAAAATTATAACTTCTTATTTCTATAATGTTATAATTCAATATGACTATAACAATAGATTAGGAGTTATAAAAACTGGATATACAGGTCCATAATGGTAATAAAATAACAAATTTTTGATCTTTTAAATATTATTTTTAATTATTCAAGCATAAAATAATACTTGAAGATATGAAGATGCAACATTTAATATGAAAATCATCATTTTATTATTGAATCATTCAATAGTATATTGAATTTTTTTTTCATAGAAAATTTTTATACTACCCATTATTTTCATCTGATTGAACTTGGTTTAATTGTATCTCTTCTTTTTTCTCCATATCATTATCATCAAAATTTTCATTTATTATAGATTGTATCGAGACATCAGCATTATCAATGATTGCAGCTTCAATAAGTTCTGGATTAGGATCTCGATTTTCTTCACCTTCTTCTATCGAGCGCGAAGTTTCTACTATATGTAAAGATGTAGACGCTTCAAAATTTTGTGAGTTTTTACCTAATCCTATCTGCATCTCTATTAAATTTAATTCTTCTATCAATGCTTTTTCCCTTCTTTCAATTTCCTCTAAAATATAACAAAAGAATACATAAGATGTATAGAAAAAAAGTTTATAAGATATAATACAAAATTTTAACATAGGTATATAAATATAAATATAAATTTACAATAATATTTGTGTAAATACTAACCATAAAGTTCTTTTGTGGATTGCACTAATAATATATCTGTCTGTGGATGTTTGCGCTTTGGTATATAATAAATGGAAGGTTGTGCACGTGTTTTTATAAATGAAGCAAGAGATAACTGTGCATTGCGCCAATCCTGAAACTGCCGACTACGTGCAAGTTTTGCTTCCAATGCTCGTACTTCAGCTAATTGTCGTTTCCGTGACAAAAACAATTGTTGCCTTTCTCTTCGTAGCTCTTCTTTTTCTCGTTTTCTAGCTTCTTCTACTCTGGCCTCAACTTCTGCTTTTTTATCTTCCTATTAATAATATAAAATGCAATATTTGATAATGTAAATTTCTAAATACATCTAAACACTAATTTTACCTTTGCCTTAAGTTTGGTCTCTTCTTGTCTAAACTTTTGTAAAGTACCCAAAAGTGCACCAAACATACGTTTATTTCTTTGTCGACTACGTTCATCTGTTCTTTCCCGTCTGATAACTTCCTGACGTGAAGGAATTTCTCGAGGAGTAGCTATTACTCTGGATGATACAGCAGGCTTAATAAATATTAAAATACATATTAGATTATATTTAATTCTATATATATATATGTGTGTGTGTGTGTGTGTGTGTGTGTGTGTGTGTGTGTGTGTGTGTGTGTGTGTGTATGTAAAAGAAAATATAAGATAGTATGGAATAGATAATAGAAAATATATATGCAATATATATATATATCAAAATATTCTAAAAGTTTTTAAAGTTATAAGTTTTTGAAATCATTCCTCTTATATGATTTTTCTTATATAAAACTTTAATTAATTATTAATTATTCAAAGAGTTTTTAATAATTTAAGAAACTTTAAAATTTTTTATATTATATATTTCTGACAATTTCTCAAATAATTTAAAGTTTTCTCACAATAACATCTATTTCATATTAATTGTGAAGACTATAATTTTATTATTTAATTATATTATTAAAATTTTTTCATTATATTCTTAATTCTTTAAAGTAAAGCTGTAGAAAATAAAAATTAAATAAATTAAAAAACTAAACAATTAAAAAATAAAAACTAAGTAAATTAAACAATTAAAAAATAAAAACTAAGTAAATTTTAAACTAAAATTACAGAAAATGAAATCTAAGTAAACTTAAAAAGTTTGAATCTACTATTATAATTTTATTACATGCCATAACTTTATATGCTATATTTTATCTGCTATAACTTTATAATACTAATCAAAAATTACACCAAAAAATTAAAAAGAATTTATTATATTTAAATGTATATGGAAGGACCTAGCAAGAAATGTTTTTGTACACTTTTATTTGTTCTTTGACATCTTTCCTTATTGTTGATTGTTTTTATAATTTATTTTATTTTCACATAATAATTAAACCGATTAAGATTTATAGACTTGTAAAAATTTGTCAATTTGTTTAATAGGACTTTTTTTATCAATCCTAGTTTTTATAATTTTATCAACAACATTCTTCGATGAGAATTGATAATAAATAATATATTGAAACAAATTAAAATCATATACACATTGATATTGTTATTTACAAATCAAAATCTTCTAATATATCTTTAAATTTATTTTGAAGAACAAGTTAAAAAATTATTTATATTGTCACTGAAAAAGTAAGAACCAATTACAAATACAATTATTGATAATTTTATATGAAATTCCAATGAAATTCTAGCGATATTGATAATCAACTTGTCAAAACTCGTTATAACTTATAAATAGATTTAAAAAAAAATGACAAAAAGAAATAGTACTGGAATATTAAATTGTTTTGAAGAAATATCAAAAATTGCATGCATATGTTTCAAAAATCTGTGGAAATATTTTAAACATTAAAATCAATTAAATTTTCTTAAATTGAATCATGTATTTTTTAAGTGTATGACTGATTCTTTTCATTATATTTAAAAATATGATATTTAAAAAATATCTCGAATTTGTTTAGTTCACTCTTTTTTAGTATTTGTTATTAAAATAAACTAAAATCTAAACATAATTTTATGATAAATATTTATATATTAATATATTGTCTTAAACAATATATATTTGAAGTTTTTTATAAGATAATATAAGCTAATATAAGTTAAATCTCTACAAGAAAGACTTAGTAGTGTTAATCAAAAGATCTAAGCGAATATTTTATACATCTAGGAAAAGAAAAAAATCCAAAAATCTCATGTGAAATCAAAAAATTTCACATGGAACAATTCTTATAAGCAAGCCATTATGATATAATAGTTATATGACTATATTCATTGCTATATTTAAATCAACATCTTCAAGAAGTTCTGCTAATAAGTTTATGAAGAAATAATAATGTATTTGTTAATATTCTTTAAAAAAATATACACATACACATACACATGTCCTTCTTCCCATGTACAATCTTTTTTATGTATATAATTTTTGTGTAATATATATATATATATATATATATATATATATATATATATATAGACACCCTGTGTATATGTGTGTATATATATTATTAATTAGATACATGTTTATTAGTGATATATTTTAACAATTACTTGTATAAAACTCAATTAATTCACAATTACTTATACAAAAACTAAATTATGAAAAATGTTGAAAACATGTGTTTGCATTTATAGATTTCTTCATAATCTCGTGTTATTATTTAATATAAAATTATCCTTATAATAATAAGATTTTTTTTACATTAGATGTAAACATTTCTATTAAAAAATAGTAATTACATACAAGTATAAAGTATTAGTAATTATTTTCAAAAATAAATTACCTTAATAATGCTATCATCTTCATCGGCACTATCGTCAGCATTAGAGGGAACTCGTGCGCTTAATCTACTGAAAACTGTTTTTGGCTCTACATTGGAACTTTGCCATCGTCTTTTGCTTCCAGGTAATTCATTATTCACAAAATCTGTTACAGCTCGTCGACGATCTTCTTGTAATGGTCGTTTTTGAGATATTCTAAAGGAAAGTGAAATAATTCATACAAAAGTACATATAAAGATATACGAATACATAATATATTATGTATGTACAAGTTAAATTTGGTAAATAAGTATATGGAATTAATCAATATAATTAATGTAAATATATGATGTGAATGTACCAGAAGTAATTTAAAGTAATTTAAATGTTGTAAATACGAAAATCATTCGATTAGTTAAAAAAATGTTATACATAACTGCACAAAATAATCTATAAGCTTTTAAAAAATATTTAGAGTTATCGCACTTAAAAGCACTTTAAATGTGCTTGATTTTACGTGACTGCATTTAGAGAATAAATGAAGATTATTTTTGAATTAAATATAACCTAGATGGTTGCAGCGGACCACTTTCGCCGTCAGGGAGATCTCGTCCGAGAATTTTACGAATATTGCGATCCAGACCGCGAAGTCCATCGCGAGCAGCTTCCAATTGAGCTTCTATTCTTTCGGCTCCCCATATTTCTAAATCCAATTTCCTCATTTAAAAATTCTTTGTTTATACACTGACAATTCAAACAATTAATCCTTTAAATTGCTTTTTAGCGAATTAACTGCGTTTAACTGCGTATATATTCACTGTGCGAATAATAATAATATTGTCAAACGAAATTACCATAGACATATAAAATATATAGAGATGGAACAATATTCTTAGAGACGCTAGAGTGAATAAAAGGAGAGAGTGTCGTCACCGACGAGATGGGAGCTTTCGGGAGCGTCCCGTTTGACCACGCTGCGATTGACCACAGCCAATTATATTGACCTGTGCCTAGGGTAACCAGCAACGATTAACCAATCAGAGAGTCCTATTTTGAATTGGCCAATTGGCGACGTGGTCAATCGGGTGCCACCCGAGCTTTCTAGAGAACCTCTAGGAGAGAGAATGGACAACTGATCAAGCTTTTTCATGATTGGCTAGCAGAAAATGTATTAATTTTAGCTATTGCGACGCCAATGCAAAATATAATGACACACAAATAGGACACACATGACACACATATATTAACCTATTTGTGTGTCATCATATTTTGCATTGGCGTCGCAATAGCTAAAATTGATACATTTTCTGCCAGCCAATCATGAAAAAGCTTGATCACATGTCACATGATCAGTTGTCCATTCTCTCTCCTAGAGGTTCTCTAGAGCTTTCCAGTAACGACACAGAGCGACACAGCATATAATTCTATCTTCTTTCAACATCAGTAAACAACAAAGATAGAATGATATTGTGTCGCTCTGTGTCGTTGCTGGAAAGCTCCCAATATTAAGCTGGATTTACATTGGTCGTGTCGTAACCATAATCATAAACGTAAAATGTAAACGTAAGCTGAAGAACCAATCAGAATATTGCTTTAGCTTTATGTATCATAAAGCGAAGACGATAAAGCTAAAGCAATATTCTGATTGGTTCTTCAGCTTACATTTACGTTTTACGTTTATGGTTATGGCAATTCATGTGCGAAAGCCTTTAGGCCGCAGCACACACTTTTGCATAAAGATGCGGCCTCATTGACGCTAAAAAGTAGCGTCAACCATTGGTTGAACAATGAAGCAACTATACTTACCTCTTTGTTCAACCAATGGTTGACGCTACTTTTTAGCGTCAATGAGGCCGCACCTTAAAGGTGCAATTTCATTGACGCTAGAAACCAGCGGCAAATTAAAATCACTAGACTTTCTCTAGATTTGGCGTCAATAAAATAAAGTTCAAACAGTTTCAACTTTTTCAGTGTGTAAAGCGGCCTTTTCATTGACGCTAAAAAGTAGCGTCAACCATTGGTTGAACAAAGAAGTAAGTAGTTGCTTCTTTGTTCAACCAATGGTTGACGCTATTTTTTAAGGCCGCAGCACACACTTTTGCATAAGCGCATAACCATAAGCATAAGAAAATTGATTGGTTCATTTTCTTATGCCATATACTTGGAGACCAATCAATTTCCTTATGCTTATGGTTATGCGCTTATGCAAAAGTGTGTGCTGCGACCTTTTAAATATACCCAATTTTTATGTACAAAACTAGCGCATACGCCAAATAAGCTGACATGGAATGTGGTTTTCTGCTAGCATGACGTCATAAGGTTTACTATAGCATTTCGTAATGCTAAGTGAACTAACATAGTGCTGCTACAAATGCTCTGCAATACTTGTAGCGCTTAGAGCCTATCCAGACAAACTTGCATAGGTGCATATGCATAACATAAGACCATATGGACCAATGAGCATCGAGTATTATGTTATGTAAGTCAATATAGCGATTTAATGCTCGATGCTCATTGGTCCATATGGTTTTATGTTATGCATATGCACCTATGCAAGTTTGTCTGGATAGGCCCTTACTAGAGAACCTCTAGGAGAGAGAATGGACAACTGATCATGTGACATGTGATCAAGCTTTTTCATGATTGGCTGGCAGAAAATGTATCAATTTTAGCTATTGCGACGCCAATGCAAAATATGATGACACACAAATAGGTTAATATATGTGTGTCATGTGTGTCCTATTTGTGTGTCATCATATTTTGCATTGGCATCGCAATAGCTAAAATTGATACATTTTCTGCCAACCAATCATGAAAAAGCTTGATCAGTTGTCCATTCTCTCTCCTAGAGGTTCTCTAGCCCTTACTGAATCGCAGCCTGTATATAACTATTCTTCATCAGCTTATTTGACGCATGCGCAGTACAGTACTTTTAGTACATACTTTTTCGGGACACGAATATAAGGCTAGTATATAAGAAGTTCGCAGTCTAGTATATTATATAGAAGTCTGTGGTAAGAACAAATCGGAATTCTTACGTTTCAATATGGCTGGCTTATTGTTTAATCGTGATTGGTCAATTTGCTTAGAGCTACTGCATACACAGCGCATTCCGCACGGCGGAAACTGACGCGATAGCCAATCGGCAGATACATAACATTCATTGCGTGTCAAAGTTAAACTCAATCCAACTTTTGTGTTGGCTTACTGCGTCATCTTTCGCCGCGCAGCAAGTGTTGCCGCGTCCAATGTGCAGGAGCCCTTACTGACTACGCTTCATTGCTTACGTATTTTTATGAAGAATATATGGTTACATTCTTCAGAAGAATGGCTGTGATTGATCAATAACTTCTAGTAAACTACCCCGGATTGATCAATAACGTCTAGTAAACTACCCCGGAGCGATTGAACTTGAGCATTCGGAAACGCTATTTGTGTCCTAAGGCTTTGTGTGCCTTAGTGCTGATTGGCTTCGCCATTTAAACCAGCGGCTCATGGTGCTATTGGCCGCATTCAGCGGACTCAAACGCTAAGTAACAATCAAACATGATTGGTTTCTACTTTCAGATCCGATCAATCGGCGTTGAAAATTTAGTATTAAATGTAAAAATTTTTGGCGAGTGTAAACAGCACGAACAAACCGACGAACTATGAATATCAGCCTTTGTAATCGAAGTATATTACTTATTCACATTGCCACTAGATGGCAGTTTCAAAAGATAATTAATACAACTCCTCTGTCGGCGTGATATCGTACTAGGCAGTATTGCAATTGGCAACGAGTTAAGTACGAGCGAGACAAGTGATTAAAAAATGGCATCCGCGCCGACGTCGCACAATGAGGTTTCCCAGGAATTCTCTGTCAACAAACTCATACGTGTCGGTTATTACGAATTGGAAAAGACTATTGGCAAGGGAAATTTTGCCGTAGTTAAAATGGCCACCCACGTCGTGACAAAATCTAAGGTAAAAGACGCCGTAAGAATCTATGTTGCAAACATGAAATCCGTCATTTTGTCGTTAATATTTTCTGGATAACTCTGTCTCTTTCTCTCTCTCTCTCTCTCTTTCTCTCTCTCTCTCTCTTTCTCTCTCTGTGTATGTGTGTTTTGTGTGCTGCTATTATGAATATTTTGTTTTACAGTTTTAATATGTATGATTATAAAAAATCTGATTAATTTAGTGATTATATTTTATCATGATACACGTATAGTTAATATTAAAGAAAAAATATAAATATTTTAATCTTTAATGTTAAAAGAATGAATATCGTGTATTGTGTTATAATTTAAAATATATAATTGATATAAATTTCTTCACTCTTGTTATTAAAAATAATATCAGCCATTTCAGGTAAATATAATAATATATTAATTATAGGAAAAATGTTTTTCTCATTAATTTTAGATTATAATTTGTACATGTAAAAAAACACATTTATTTAAATGTAAATTTTAAATACAAAAAATTTTGTTTTATTACTAAAATTTGTTATGAAAAAGGAGGAGAAAAATATAAAAGAAAGATGACTATAAAGACATTACTTGGACATATGCATAAGACTATAGATGTACAATTATATATTTACAATTACAATTAAACTAAAAACTATTAGATAATTTTGTTTAATATTATCATCGTAGACATATAATACTTGTTTTTATAATTATATGTGATATTAATAGTAGATACATTTACTAATAATTACATTTATATTTTTATACATATTTATAACAGTAGTATATTTATATTTCATATATATATTTATAACAAAGATATGTATTACATGCATAAATATATTTGTATATATAAAAATTATAAATGAATAACCTCTAATCAATCTTTGATATACTTTAATTAACTTAATAACTAATTATGATTGTCAAAACAACATGTTCATTCTCTATCTCTCTTCCATTTTTGCAAACAAATCCATTTCTTAATAGATAAAAGTTTTTACACGATTTTTAATGTGTTTATGTATCAAGACATAGATATATATAGAATATTTTGAAATTGTTACATGTCCTTTTTGCCAGATGCTTTGACTGATTTTATATAAAATTACAAAATATTGATTTATTATTCATTAGATTTCTTAAGATTTAATATATATATATATATATATATATATATATATATATAAAATTTTCTCTTTTTTTTCAGCTTATAATTTAGAAGCTATTAATATCTTGAAATTGTTATCATTGAGAAATTAACATTTTTTTTCTTTTTCTTTTTTTCAGAAAAATCTAGAAATTTTAGAGTTTTCAGTTATTTTTTTCTTATCTTAAAAAATCTAACAGTTTTGAAGAATTTTTTAAAGATTTAATTATCTATTCTTTTGTTTCTTATAATTTTACTTATAAGAGAGATATGCTGTCTACTGATTGACTAACAATAAGTTAATAATCAGTTCTGTGTATAGACTTGCATGTGATAGTTTACTTTCTTTTTCAATGTTTAAATAATGATACTGCTCTTGTCATATTGTCCATGATTGATTTTACGATTAAGAAATTCATATTAAATGCTGGAGATGGAATGTCTTAGACGTGTGTGTGTGTGTGTGTGTGTATGTAATATAAATATAAACAAGTTAATAACAAATTTTCTCATTTAATTAACTTTCCTTAATAACTATAGAAAATATTGAGGAAAAAATTAAAGTTCAATAATTCAATTAATAGTTCAATAATTCAATAATTTTCAATTTTCAATTTAAAATAAGAGATTTTTAGACAAATAAAAACCTCAAAATCGCACAGAAAAATATAATTATATGTAAGAAAAGTATAATTTCATATATTTTGTTAAAATTAAATTTTAATTTAAAATATTAGTGTATATATTTAAAAAATCACATAAAGAATTTTACGATACATAGAATGTGTTTGTTAATATATTTTATAAATAATGTAAATCATTAGAAAGTTTATGTTTATATATATATATATATATATATATATATATATATGTGTGTGTATACCACACACACTACACAGATTCCTTACATATTTACATACTATATTCTTTACATATCGATGTTGCGTATTATAATTTATTGTTGCTATTAATTTGCTTAATTATTTTATAGGTTGCTATTAAAATAATAGATAAAACTAAACTAAATGAAGAAAACTTAGCAAAAATTTTTCGTGAAGTGCATATAATGAAAAGGTTACGACATCCACATATTATAAGACTATATCAAGTAATGGAAACGGAGAAAATGATATATTTAGTAACAGAATATGCTCCTGGAGGTGAAATATTTGATCATCTTGTTCGAAATGGTAGAATGCCAGAACCAGAAGCACGACGAATTTTTCGTCAGATTGTACTTGCCGTTCGTTATCTGCATCAACAAAGGGTGGTTCATCGAGATCTTAAGGTCTCTAAAGATTTATTATGATTATATTAAAATTTAACTTATATATTAAAAATAATCTATATAAGTCTCTTTCTAATTATTAATAAATATTATTATTACATCGTTTTGTATACATACTTATATAACTTTTTACCTTTTTTATCTTATCAGGCTGAAAACTTATTACTTGATGCAGACAATAATATAAAACTTGCTGATTTTGGATTTAGTAATGAATATACACCTGGTGTTCCATTGAATACATGGTGTGGCTCACCACCATATGCTGCACCTGAAATTTTTGAGGGAAAACATTACGATGGTCCAAGAGCTGATGTATGGGTATGTTATTGCTTTTTTTATACAATATTACACATATAAATTTTATATTCTAAGAGAGATATATTCATAATTAAAAGTGTATTTCATTTATTAACATAAATACTCAGTAATCATATGTATGTGTAATTATATAGGTGTTTTTCTGTTTGGGATACGTGTGTACATGTGTGTAAAATACAGAATGTTTCATTTTATGTATTCTGACAAGATATATTGAAAATTAAATAATATCAAAAGAAAAGTTTTTTTGAATAAAAGTGCATGATTATAAGATTTCAAATAATCGACGCTTCCGAGATTTAAAAATATTACTTTTATCTTTTTTTAAATGTAATTACATGTGATTATTTTTACATGTATGAATTTCTATTTTGAATAAAAATATCAAGGCAAAGTAAAAAAATTAGTTTATGAAACTTTTTATAATTTACTTTAACATGTTGTGATATATAATATATGTAATATCTTTTAAAATATTCATTTTTAACTGTACTGATGTTACATATAACAAATAAATGTTTCAGAGCCTTGGTGTTGTCTTGTATGTATTAGTTTGTGGTGCTCTACCATTTGATGGACCTACAATGCAGTTGTTAAGATCAGTAGTTGTCTCAGGGAAATTCAGAATACCATTTTTTATGTCTGCAGGTAAATAAATAAATAAATAAATATATATATATATATATATATATATATATATAAATTACTCCATCTCTTTTTCATAAGAAATATTTATGATTAAATTATTTAACTATTTATTTCTTTATTCATATATATATATATATATATATATATATATATATATATATGTCTTTTTAATCTTTAATTTTTTATCTTTTTATATATTTTTTAAAACATTAAGGCCATGTTGCATCAATATTGTTTTGGATTTATAAGCAAGACTCGTGTCTCTATTTTTCTTCTTAAATAAATAAATATAGATAGATATATAATTAATATCGCTTAAAGCCAGGATAACATTGACGCAATCGGGTTTTATATGTTTAATTTATTTACAACTTATAATACATTGACTTATGCAAAGTCAGAATAATTTTTTGATAACAGTTTGAAAATAAAAATATGGTATAAAATTAGTAAATTAACTTGTAATTGCCTGAACTCAAATTCAAAGTTATATATATGGTTGAATATTAAAAGTATATTAAAAATATCAAAAATTTGAAATATGTAATAATATAACTCAACATGAACGAAAAAATGAAATTTTTTGAGAACAAAATTAATAATGAACAAAATAAATAATTGTGAATCGTTAAATTGTTTCTAGATGTTCTTATGGAAGATTTATTCCATACAAAAATATTTTAGAACATTTAAAATAATACTTGAAATTTTAAATTGTTATTAATTACATGAAATGTTAAATATGTTGATATTGACGTTTTTTTTAAAATTTTTTTTTTAATTTGTAGTTAAAACGATAAATACTGATGATTAGTAGGAAATCTTTGTTAAAATATTCTGAAAGTTTGATGCAGAAATACAAGAGTAATTCATTATTTTATTATTTTATAAATAACTAATACAGCTCATATATATATATATATATATATATATATATATATATATATATATTATATTTCTTAATATCTTACTCAAAAGAAGCTATTGTACATGAAAATGTACAATTATCAAGTAAATTTTACAAATTAAATCGAGATTGGCATATAAGAACCACAGTAGTTGGAGCGCAGGAAAGAAACATTTCCTACTTTTTTTATTGTTGATTGATTTTGACATCAAAATTACAATAATAAAAAGCGAACTTTTCGGATCATTTTTGATTCCTCGTCAGCGCAATGTCAACAAAATATGTTACACAGTGTTTAAATGCGACGCAAGTAAACTTTTTTGCTCTTATTTACAGATTAATAACAGATTAATGCAACATTTGGATAAAAATTTTCTATGGCTTTTTATATATTTAAACAAATTGAGCAGTTTTTTCCCAAATTTACCATTTCTTATTTCGATTATATTAAAAGTTATATGTTCTATATAGTTAAACATGTTTATCATTTTAGATTGCGAAAAATTGATCAGACACATGTTAGTAGTAGAACCAGAGCGGCGTTTAAGTATTTCACAAATATTAACACATTCATGGATGTGTGGAAATGGAATCGTGGAGTTAGAACCTGGAGGGTATGTATTGTGTCACATTTATTTTATTATATGCTATTTCATATAAACAAGAATAAGAAATATAAAAGAGCTCTTGAAAAAATTAATAAATAATGAACATAAAAATTATAAATATAAAAATATTTAACAATAGTTTATATGATATCAAAATAATATTAATCAAAATAATATGAAGGAGACGTAAGAGACTAACAATTAGGATGCAGATCTTATATTATACACACACGCGCACGCGCGTGTGTGTACACATATACTTTATATTTGTATATATTCTCAGATGTAGTCCTGACGTAGCACCCCAATTAAATCAATTAGTGATAGAGAATATGTTAAGATTGCCTGGACTCAGCGCAGATACATTGTTACAAGCCATCAAAGGAAACACTTTTGATCATGTGTCAGCTATATACAATTTACTCGTTGATCGATTAGAACCAACAATGCCTAATTTACCCAATATCCAAAATATATCGGGTGATTATTTGCCAGATGGTGCACATCAATTGGAGAAGGTAATTATGTAACTTTTGAGGACAAAGCAAAAAGACAATTAACTTATTCTTCTCTATTTTTTCAAGATTTGATTAGGAAAACTTTCAAAGATTGGAAACATATCTCTCGCAATCAATAAAAAGGCATCAATTAAGAGTTTTTTTTTATATCTTTTTAAATTAAAAAATATTAATTTGTATCAATTTATACAGTTTATTCTGTATGAAAAAATCGATCATCAAATATCAAGATCAAGATTATCTTCTATTTTATTTCTTCACAATCACAAAATTTGAAGAAATAAAATTTATGCATTGTGTGATTGCTATCAAATTTTTTCTCTAAAATATTTGTGAATAAGATTAAAATTTATAAAGTTATGTAAATAAATCAAATTGTATTGATTTGTATGCTGTATGTAAAAATGGATCTATCTAATACAGTATTAATTCAATCTGTTTAAAACAAAAACTCGATAAAGTAAAATGTGACATATGATAGAGCGAATATTGTGCAGAATGCACTTTTGAAACTAATACAAATTTTATTATAAAATTGTTGTATAATAATTGTATAGTAAATTTTCTTTGGAATTTTATTTTGGATCTACAAGTAATTAAAAGGAGATTAATAAGTCATATGACTTATAGCATTACTTTACATCTAACAATGTATTATAAAATTAATAACTCTACAGATTTTTATATATGTATTTTTTTGACAGTTTGGGGAAACCGAAGCAGAAACAGAAGAGAAAAGTGGTCTTTATTTGCCTTCTGGAACGCCTTATCATACAACAAGAAGACATACAGTTGGACCTGGTGATGCAGTGCATCAGTCTCCTACATCATATCCCTATAATCATATGTCAGGATATCAAACTTTACGACCTCTTCCTATTCTTCATTCTAATATGGATCCTCAAGTTTTGCCACATACAAATTTACCATTAAATCTTCCCTTAGTTCAACACCAACCACCTCAAAATTTTCAAATAAAAGATCAGCATTTACTGAAGCCGCCTCCTGTAATGGGTGCCAGTAAGTTCTCATTTTTATGTATGAACTTTCATATAATCTATTATAGTGTAAAATGTTTAGTTAATCTTTTATCTTAAGTTATTATTTTGATAATAATAAGCAGTTACATGTTAATTTTTCTTTATAACTCATGCACACAAAATTAATTTTTACAAAAAATTATAAATAATAACAAAATTGTTAATTTTTTTAAATCATTGTATCATTTTTATGATTATAACTCTTTAATATACACACACATAACGAATTTATTATTATATTATACTATAATATAAGTATGTTAACATTCTCAAATATACTATTTAATTTCATTATTAAAAAATAAATATGATGAATAGAAATACCTTAATAATTCATGTTTTTATATTATTATATATTTATATATATTTATAGGAAGTTATCTTTGTCAATTTTACTTTAATATCTTAAAGCTGTTAAATTCAAACTTTTAATCAGTTCAACTTCTTTCTTTTAAAACGTTATTAGTATATATTGTATTATATATTATATATTATATATTATTTTATTATATATTATATATATTTATATATACAGCAGGAAGTTTTGGCAGAAGAGCTTCAGATGGTGGAGCAAATCTTCACATATTTCATCAACAGCATAGTAATAATATTAACAATGATGAAGAAAGTGGTTGGAGTCAACCTGGTAGCAGGGAACAATTACAATCTGTAAGTATATTACAGATATATGCAAAATATAATTAAAATAATATAATAATATAATATAATAAATATAATTAAAAATAATAGTAGTAATGAAATGATGAAATACTAAAAATATTACTTTTATTCTTTTAATTCTATAGTTCTAACTAATTTGTAACTAAATTCACAATAGTTTCTTTCTAAACAATGCAAGTTAACATAATTTTATTTTTAAATTAGTTTTAAATTAGTTTTAAATAAATTGATTTAATCCTTTAGGCATAGTATCTTTAATATTTAAGACATCTGTCTTTCTGCATTAATTTTTCCAAGTTCTTACACATTTCATAATTGTTTTGTATATATATGTATAATATTATATTTTGTGTATATTTATATAATATTTTATTTCACATTTTTAACTTTAATTTTGTACAAGAAATTACTTCTTTTTCGATTGCATTATGTTTCCTGATTCATTCTATGTAGATTATTTTATTTGTTGATACTAGACTATCAAATTGTTTGCTAAAACATTCTGTATTGAAATTTTTTTTTAATTTTTAAACAAATGTATGCAAACAGTTACAGAGTGGCAGTTCAGGATTAGTACAATGTGCCCAGTCATTAAGTATTGGTGTTAGTACTACAAGTGGAGAAGGGAGCAGTAATAACAATAGTAGTAATAATGGAAATAGCGATAGAAGAAGAAGAAGTGGTCTTAGCACTGTTATGCAGCGGCCAGGTATGACGGTTAAATTGTACTGAATTTTTTCACAATTAATAATTAAAATCGCATGATTTAGAGCTTTTTAATGTCTATATTTTATTGCCAATTATTTCCGATTAAAAATAGCAAAAGCAAAGTATGCATATGTTAAGCGTGGATTTCTTACATTTTTAAACAATAAAATTTTGAAATAAACAATAAAATCATCTTCTCTAAAATGGAAACTGATTCTTCTAGGACAAAATTTTATTAATTTTATAATGAATTGTGGTTCAAACGATTTTAACATTAAAATGTTTAATATTTCTCCAGATATTTTTCTTTAATGATACTAAAACTTTTTCTTTAATACCTGTGAGAATTATATATACAACGTAAATTTATGTAGATTTCTTCTTTGCACAATATAAATAAAAATTAATTTTTTACCTATGTCATATTTTGGTATCACAGATTAATAAAATATAAATTAATCAATAAATCTGTATATCTTAATCTATATAATATGATTGTAAACTTATTATTACTATTATTATATTATTATTAAAAATTTATTTTATTTGATGTTATAAATGTTTTAAAATATTTGATTGATCGATCAAGACAAAAGAAACAAAAATTTTTTAATCCTGATTGATCAATTAAACACTTCGAAATACTTACAACATCAAAGTCTGAATAATTTTTGGATTATTTATTTGGATTATTTTGGACATTTATTTATTAAAGAGCATAAGAAATTGAATTTTTTTATATATTACCAAATTTATATTATGGAATGTAAATAATGTTATGCAATAACATTAATTTATTTGAATTTAGTGCAAAGAAAAAGATAATTTTCACTTTTAATATCATATAATTGTGTAACAAAGAAATTAGAATTTTTATTGAATGTTTATTTTGTGTACTTGTGTACTCATATGTAAATGAGAACCAAAAATAAATTTATAAATAAAGAGAGTTTGAATTTCCTTAGAAGGAAAGTTAAAATTAAAGAAATTTAATTATAAATAAAAATTGCATTTTCTTCGAGGAGGCAGTTTTAATCTGTCAAAAATGGAATATACTTTAAGAATCTTTTTTTAATATAGTAATTTTTCTTTTAGTTATTAGTATATGTATCTATTTTATCTTTAAAAGAAATCATCGATTTTCTTATCCTTATTATTTAAAAGTTGCTATATTCAATTGAATAAGAAATGTTATAATTTTCATGATATAACTCATACCGCTCATTTTTTAATAATTTTTTAAATAATTTTTTCTCGCTGAAATGATTTATGATTCACAATTTCTTTCAAGACTTCTTTATTTTCTATTAGGAATTACAATCGACTTCCATTTCTTTATATATTTTACATGCTCACTTAATTTAGCTAGACTTAACTATTTTATTATATATATATATATATATATATATATATATATATATATATATTTATATACACATTTTTTTTCTTCAATTCGTTTATATAACAACATGTATAGATCTACTTTTTAAATTTTTTAGAGAGCTATATTAAAATATTAAAATGCAAATGTACATGAAAATAATTTCAGCAAATATAGCAGCACTAATTTATTTGCATTAACTTTTGTTATTTTAATTGTATTATTATATTTTATTACACGTGATACATTTATTGCAATTGATATGATTATTTTGAGAATTTTTTTCCAAGAATATATCTTATCTTTTCTACAATTATATTAAAAAGCGTATACACAATATTTAAAATATATAATCATAATACTATATATTATTTAATATAATATTAATATTGAAATAATAATAATCAAAGAATAATATAAGAATAAATTCTATATATACAGGGTGTCCTAGACCACCCGTACACCCCTTTTCTTTCAAAAACTAAGCATTTTAGAGAAAAACGTTTTCGACAAAAATTGTATGGTTTTGAGGGGAACATAAGATGGTGTCATTGGTTTGATCTTGGAGGGGTGGTCTAGGACACCCTGTATAAATTCTATATACATTTTTCAATTTTAATGAGCGCAATTTTCTGATATCATTACTTTTGTAAGGAAAGCGATCAAAGTTTAATTAATAACAGTAAAATTGAAAATTATGTAAAACTGAATCTTGCTTTTTGAATAGAAAGGAATTTGTAGCAAAAGATAAAAAGGCGCTAAATTCATATGTTCATGCAAAATATTATACGAAAAATATTATATTTTATTAGTTAATCTTTGACCATAGAAAGGATCATTTCACATGACAGTTATTCATGAAACTTGCATATACTCTTTCTAGATCATCGGGAGAGAGTATAGCGTATTCGCAGTTTTATGTATTGCTGTGTAACTGAACCATTATCTCTACTCATATTACTTAGTTTAGTGTGTGGCTTTGTACGTGGAAGGGATACAACATTCTTTCGCAGTCTTCGAGAGATTTCAATATATTTTGCTATCATTTTTATTGATATACATTTTTATTTACACACACACACACACATACAGCCTTTGAAAATTTTTTATCAAAAACTACATCTTACAGATGCTACAATCATATTAAGATACATAAAAACAAATATTTAAATATAATACACATTTATATTTTTCTATTTCTCTGATTATAACAATTTTAAAACATAGTAATAGGATAATTAAATTTTATAGTATACATAATTCTTTTTCCAATTCGTGTACACTTTTCTTATATTATCATTTTTATAGAAAGAGCAACTTTAAGTAATGAAACAAATATTAAAGCAATATTTTTTTGTACAATAATTTTTTCAATATATCTGAAATATACATTAAATACACTTCTTTATATAACATTTTTTAAAGATAATTTTGATTGTAACATATAAATATACTATAGATGTAATATTTATTTCATTAATTTTGCGAGCTTTTTGCAACTTTTATGTTTTTATTATCTCCATTATATTTTTTTTATGTTTTTATTATTTCCTTCAAATATTTTTAGTTTTTTAAATATTTATACATTTTTTATTCAGTTTTATCTTTGATTTTGCATGGTTTTTTGTGTCCACTGCACTTCCATGCCTCGTTGGTTGGTAATATGCATGTAGTTATAAACCCGGAACTGGTAATGGAGGTAGAAGCTAGGATGAATAGAGCTTATCTACCATCGCGATTGTTACCAACTCATCTTAGAGGATCAACACTTCCACACCACAGGAAATCTTCATTATATCACACTAGTACTGGTAATTTTTGCACTTTTGTTAATTTATGAATTATTTTTTTGTGTAATTGCACAAGATGTGTTTGGAGGTATTTTTAATATTAATATAATAAGGATAGTGCTATAATTTATAGTATATATCTTCTAATACATCTTTTATTAAAAACAAATCTATAAAATTTATGTACAAATTATACAATATTGTTACGAAAGGTAAGTCTTAAAATGTAATACAATCATAAAGAAGATTATTGAGTAAAAATATAAATAAACTATTGAATTCTTAATACATGTGTTATGTGTTATATAACTCTGCTTGAATATTTTTACAGAATGTATGTGTATGTGTGTACATGCGTGTGCATACATGCGTATGCGTGCGTGATGTGAGAGGGAGGAAATTTTAATATATGTGTGCGTGTGCGTGTGTGTGTGTGTGTGTGTATATAACAAACTCATGTGTAGTAACATTTAAAAAATACGAGTGACTTTAATACCTCGTAATTTTTTTACACAAAACAAAATTGCTTTATAATTATAGGATATACACCCTCTTATAAGAAGGAAAAATTCTCTAACTTTTATTCCAAATTAGTTTTTCTGATATTAATATGAAAAAAAAATTTTTTTCTCTTAAATATGATAAATTCTCTTAAATCTTATATAATATAAAAATATTTTGCTAGTATTAGCTTATGTGAATTAGTGAAATTTTGCAATTTATATAAATTAATTTTGGATGCAATGCACAAATACAATATTTGATGATGCTAGAATATATTTGTAATGTTTGGATTTTTATTTTAGTGAATAATAGGGATTCATATAAGGAGCCAAGCAGTCATGTTGTTACTGAAAGATACTCACCTGTCCGTCGGGCATCAGAAGGATCGGGTGCTCCCGGACCAGGTATCCAAGCTCTTCAACAAGAGTATCAACAGTTACAAAGATTGGCATCACCTTCACATAGCCCTGCAAGTATTCCTGGATCTCCTGTACATGAAAGAGGTGTAGCAGCAATTACGCAAGGTATTAATTCCATTTTCCAAAGAATATTTTATTAATTTAACACATATGCATTATCATAAGTTTATTTCGGATTTTCAAAATAATAACTATACTGTCATAACTCTGAAGGATGTTTATTATATATTTCTATAGTAGTTTGCTGTATTTAAACATACAATCAATTTTGTATTTTTGATATTTTAAAAATATTTATAATAATATGACAATATGGTATGTAAATGACAGTTGATGTTGGTTTTGAACTGTTCAATAAAAATATTCACTATACATGATAAAACCTCTCAGTTTGATTTTAAAATCTGAAATAAAAGAAAAATTTTTGTAAAAGTAAATTCATTATTAATACATGTAAAATCATTTTTTTCTGTTTTTTATTAATGATATAGGTCTCAGTGGTCTATCTACGACGCCAGTCGGTGTGCAGGGTAGTATTGTACACGGTACACCGGCACAACCACCGGCAACACCTTTAGATCTAAGTCCACTTAGACATCATAGATCACCTGCTACTACTCCTGTGAGTTATTCCCCTAGTAATAGCCCAGCATTGGATATGATACAAGAAGAACATCCTGTAGAAATACCAAGGGTATGTATACAATCAATTCAGTATGTATGAAAAGTTTTGTTGTGATATAAAGTATTATTAGTATGACAGAAATTTCAAAAGAGTAAGATATGTACACTTGAAAGAAACAAATGAAAAATTTATTTTTAAATGTACTTTCTTATTGTGATATCCAAACCATTTCTTTTTTAATTAGATATAGACCATTAAATATAGACTCTTAGAATAAATTTAAATAATTTTTTAATACTTTTTTAATATTTTTAATATTTTTTACTTTGACTAAATTGCTATGCTCTTTTGAATAATGCTTTAACTCTCGGTTTGAACCATAAAATAATCTAAGATTATAAATAAAGGTTTTCGTGAAAATAATATATTTTAAAATAAAATAAGATTTTAAAAATGAGATTTTTTTATTTTAAATTTTGATTCTACATAAAAAAATAGGAAATTTTGGTAATAAAGACTTATATTATGAAAAACTTATATTTTATTATATTTTATTATATTTTATTTTTGCAATAAATTTTAAAGTTTGCGAATTATATAATCTATTTTCCTTTTAAAGTTCATCTTTCAAGTTTTAAATCAAATTCTATTGTCAGTAAATAATATAAATAATATATGGTTAAAAAAAGAAAATGTTCTTATTTAATTTCCACTTATCTTCAACATCAATTTGTACATGTTATTGTAAATCGTATTACATTATCTATAATTGATTTAGAATCTATTCTCATAGTCATATTCTTGCGATATCTATTTTTTCTTTTATCAACTTTTTAGTAGCTTTATTTTCCTCCGTGTTGCACCTTAGGTTTATAATACTAATTATAATATTTTCTTCTTTCTTCCTGTTTATTGCTTCACTTCTTTGTTTCTTTGCACTTTTTCAAGTGAACTGTCAACATCTCTTTGCATTATTCTTCTCAAATCTTCCTACTTTTATTTACTATTTCCCAATCATTAGACTGCTTTCTTAATCAGCATTTTAACTTTTCTTACATGATACTTCATCTTTCATTGTTCTCGTATAATCGAATTTATTTTTATTTCGATACTCGAAGATTCACCCGTGTCTGTTGCTCTACTTCCACTACTTGCTGTTGTAATCGATCTTGTAGATCTTGTTGATCCCCATCTATCCCTGAAGCTCCCCGCCAATGATCTTTTTCATACATGCATCTTTTACACAATTCAATTTCAATTTCAATTATAAATTTCTCAAATGGGCCTTTGTGAGTTTTTCACTTTTCACACATCAGCACTTTTGTCTACCTGTTATGTCTACCTGTCGAGACTTTAATATTTCATCCCGAAAAGAAAAAACTCTTTGCAATTCATAAAACTGCATATCCCGACGAGATGGTTAATCTCCGTCCATACTATGATTTCAACAACTTTTATCATTCTCTCTATTTAATCTGTTTAATCATTTTTAAGGAGCGATGTTTGATACGTCCTCTCTACGGTGAAGAGAGAGAGAGAGAGGGGGGAGAGAGAGAGAGAGAGAGAGAGAGAGAACTATTTAATCTATTGTTGCAAAGTCATTTAAACATTGCATTAACATTTCTACTCTGTAATAGTGAAAAATTGTGATTTTTCTGGTTTTCTGATTTTCTTTGGAAGAAAAAAAAAATAAAAAAAAATAAAACAAATTTTTTATATTATATGTAGTATTTTATACAACTGATTTATGATGTTTAATTCTAAATTTAAAAATTTTTCTTATAGGTACCACCACAAATTTCAGTGACAGATGTTCTTGGAGGACAAGTAACGATAATTAATTGTTCACCTTCTCCGTCTCCATCACCTGACTCGCTCGAAGACGCGTTACCTCATTATAACACTCTTCCGAGTTTTATTATTTCAGAGCCATGCGATCCTTTGAGACCCAGTATCACACGCGGTATTGGTAGGCCACTTACTAATACAATACCTACCGAAGTCGAAGTTACTTTGTCCGATGAATCGAGCAGATTAAATTCTGAAGCTATATTAGGTCGTGTCAAACAAATAATAGATGCAAGAGCGCCACCAAAAGGTTTTATATTTTCAACGGAAGAAGTAGAAGGTAGTGGACTTAGCTTAGAATATCCAGGTGGCGTACAAATTGAACTTAGAGTATGTGAATCGGAAGAAAGAGAAGTGAAAGGAATAAAAATGCGTAGGATTAGCGGGGACCAATTGCAATACAGTCAACTTTGTCAGCAATTGATTTCATGTATTACTGTTTGACGACAACTAACAAATAATGTAACATTTTTTTATACATTACGTTACATTCCTAGTGTAACATACACTGTTTATCACTATTTCAGTATTGCACATACGCGTTGCATACATAATGTTGCATACACAAACGGTATTTTAAAATTGCCATCCTTCATATATATAATAACATTATTGTGTTATTATATTTGTATGTATATATATAACATTCAGTGTATTATATCATTTTTAATGTTTACTTTGAGAGATAAGATAAGAGCCATCTTATTTATAACACAAAGTTGTAAATAAGAAGAGATTTATTAGATATATTTATATCATCTAAAACATTTTTAATTATTTGCATATTTAATAATTCTCAAATTGTAATATATTTTTTATTTTCTTTAGGTTTAACTAAAGTGAATAATTATTGAAAAAACTCATCAAATAAAATTTTAATAAGAGAATTTGTTCATTAGTATAACATTTGTTAATAAGTATTAACAATAGTATTTGTTGTAGATGTGCAGGAAAAAAAAATCACTGAATTGTCCTACATGCATTCTATTTGCAGTACATGTGCACCAAATGCTATTGTTCTTTATTATAATTTGCAATGTTCCTTTTCATTATATATATATATATATATATATATATATATATATATATATATATATATATATATGTATTGTGTTAGACATGCGCGTAGGCAAACAATTTTAAATTTTCTGATTTGTATTATTGAATATATGTTATAAGGAATCGAAAAATAAGGAAAGATATTGTTATTTGTATTCGGTATAAACAAATTTTTGTTTTCCTTGTGCCAGTACAATTTACAACAGGAGTAGATTTATATAAAATAATTTTACTGTAATCACACATTGTGATAATGTTGTTGCAGTAAATAAAAATTAATGACAAGAATGTACACATTAAACAATGTATAATGTGTACTACTTAAAATATAAAATTATAATGTAAAGAAATATTAATTGTGAACAGCATTTCTATTAAGAATTATCATGTGTAAAAAATATATGTGCAATAATTTTTGGTATAATGACAGGATGTACGAATATATGATTTGATTATCCTTATACAATGAAGTCATGAATGGAATACATTTTTCGTTTATTATTACAAATATTTAATTTTTTTAAATGACTTTTTATTACTTGAATTTTGTAGTTGTTACAATATGATATACAGATAAACCATTTAATATTTTCACTTCGTATATAATTATTCTTTTACTATTTTATTGGTCAAAAATTAGTTTGAAATAAGGATATGTGTATATATGTGGTTTTAAGGTAACATATGCTGAAAAAAATTTTGATATCATATACTTATACAAATTCTCTAAGATAATCTATATTTTTTAAAATAACTATGTGTGTGTATATTTTATGTAAATAGAAGATTGTAAATGGCTATATGATTTCAATCAAATCCAATAAAGCTAAAAGATTATATTTAATCGATGAAAAGGGGCTAATAAGGACCAAAGCACAGAAGTCAATGCGTAAATTGATAGTATATTAATATAAAAATACAATATACTTAGAATATAGAACATTTTAGATCTGTGTTTGGACTATCTTGATTGAATTATTAAATCATACATGTCATAATCAAACATAAGCATTAAATAATACATAGAGGATAGAAATATGCATTTAAAATCAAAATGTCAAAAGAGATTTTCAATAGATTTCTTTAAATCATTTTTTTCATTTCCTGTGGCTTCTCTTAATATATTCTCTGAAGTTGTTTTACTTTCTTTATTTTACAGTCTATCTCTCTTTACGTATTTGTAAGCACACTTGATTGGTTTTCATTCAATGATATGTATATACAAAATAGCAAAATGCTAGCAATATGTCATCAGTATACCAATAAATTCAATCATGATCCTATATAGCTAAGTCTATCAAAATCATATATTGCAAATTATGTGCTATATATTATATAGACCTCTGGCAACAACTGCGCATAATCCGCTATTTTAGTTAGTGTCAACAGAAATGCGTAGCAGAAAATAAGCAATCTTTGCGTCGTGATATACTTATACTATAAATATGTACTATATTTATATATATATATATATATATATATATATATATATATATATATATATATATATATATATATATATATACACATATATAATATTATATATAAATATAAAATGTGCTTGTAAAATTTAAGCAGAAATTCTTGGCATAAAAATAGCAGAACTTGAGCATTGCATGTTGACATAATATGTCAATAGAAAGTAAATCAAAATTCAGTATGACATCATCATTTATATTGGCAAAATATTGATTAGAAATTATACTCATTTGCAAGCACAACAACAAAAATGCGGCAAAAATTAAGTACAAATTGTTATCTCAGGACAGCAGAAACAGCATGGTCCGTCTATAAAATAATGGCAGAATTAGCAAAATTAAGTACTATTAAAAGATCACAGCAATATTAAAATATGTTTTAGTTATAGTTCTTTTTCTTTATCACTATATGGTGTATCTATTTCGTATTTAAATTTCTGTCACAGGAAATAAAATCTGCAAGACGCGACTAACACGATTAAAAGTATTTATTTTTATCAGCTTTTTTTTATTTCTGACTCAATTCCAACAAATTCGGAATTGATCGTTAAAGTTTAATTAATTCTATAAACTATGTTATAATTTATATTTATAAATATGTATATACATATGTGTGTGTGTGCGTGCGTGTAATATCATTTTTGTATCATTATTATGATAACCATGTTATGTTTCTGCTGTACTTTTGTTTTATATTTTTGAAATGGCAGTGTATGTTCAACTTTTGCCGCATTCCTACCATGCTCGCAGGTGAGCTCGATTTCTGATGATATTCTTTCCACAAAGCATGATGTCGTGTTATCCCCAAATTTGATTTCTATTGAAACATTGAAATTACACCATTTATATATACTATTAAAGTGTTTTATAAAGTATTGCAAGACATTTTCTTTAAAACTTGATATCATATAAAAACATATTTCAGACAAAATTTATAGTTTTAAGAGAGAAAAAAGTGAATGATCTTAAGTTTACTAAGGTGATTTTTTTAAAGATCATGTGAAAATAAAAATAAAGATTTTTTTTTAACTGGAACTATTCTAATTTTTTTATACAAATCGATTTCTTACAACATTCGACATTAAAAGTTGTAAAGGTAGAATGGCTAAAAATTAAATAGTTTACGAGATATTTTATATCCTCTAATTTAAAACATAATATATAAAATGTAAAATATTCATTTTTCATTATTTATAATTTTTTATGTATGTCGATTATTAGGCTGTTTGTTACATATTTTTTTCTTAAAAATAACTATGTATTTTCTTTATATAATTAATTCAATAATTAATTTCTCTTATTATTTTATATATAGAAATATTGAGGCAAGATAATAGAAAAATAATAGAAAGTGAATATTTTAAGAGAGATCATGCAAGATTTCATGCAAAATCATGTCAAATTATGCTATGTATATATTATATACATAAATTTCATGTAAAATTATGTCATGTATATACGTTATTAATCAATTCTGTGAATTGATCGATTTTTTAAAAATTAATTTCTCATTAATTATTGCAGAAACTGCAAAATGATAAAGGACTTCTTAACTTAATTTAATCTGCTCTATCTGTAAACAAAAGGTGATACTGTTATTACCAAACACTTTTCATACGTCTTATACACACATGTTGTCTCGTTACATCATTCAGTTTAGTAATGATGATAAAAGCACATTTTAGAGGGATATAGTTATGCCGGAAAATTTAAAATGGCGTGAAATATTTTATTTTATTTTTCATATCTTTTACTTAACAATAATAACACTTCAATCTCTCTTTATTGACAACATTTTAATTTCATACGCACATTTCTATCCTACTCTATTTGATATTTGACATTTAAATATGTTTCATATGATTTAAATGATTATCAAAAATTATCCCAATTTACTGAATATAATTTACGCATAGGAAAATATGTTCGACGAATATTATAAACGCTATTTCCATATTAATGTACCATTAATTATAATTTGTGCATTCCATTTTTCACGCTTTTGCTCTTATTAGCTTGTTGTCACTTTTATGGTTTATATATTTGTCAGTTATTTTCAATTGTTATATTATTTAAACAAATATGTTAGATTCTTGTAGAGTTTTTACTATTCATTTTTGCAAAAATTGATAGATTTAAAACTTTTAAAATTAACGTTGCTGACATACATCGCTTACTTATTGATAGAGTTATTTCATGTATATTTTTATTGCACTCATCATGAATTAGCAGTATATGTAGTAATTTTACTGGTTGCGTTAAAAATGTCATATAGATATACATCTATATATTTATATGAAATGTTTGCTATGTGTGCAATATGATGTATGTATTATATAACATAATACACACACATAGATAGCTTTTTAATACTATATGATTATTTGGTATCATATAGGATGATTTTTATTAAAGAAGAAAGAGAAAACCAAAATACTATTTAAAAAAATAAAGATTATCTTGGTACTTTTCACATATGCTATATTGTTCTTGTAATCATGTAAAATTTCTTTTGAAGCCCTTTTCTTTTACTTTAGATTTAAGAAATAGTAAAAGAGTAATAAAATAATTTCAACTAATTATGATACACAATATTAGATAGCTTATCTTGTATATTTTTTATAGAGAGAATATTTTGTATAACAAGTATTCCAGAAATTCTTTTAATTTTTCTAATAGTATATTTTTTACATTTTCTATATGATATCTATATTATGTAGCATACAAATAATTGTTATCTTTACACTTATCACATATTAATACTTGACATAAAGCATTGTATCATGTATTTCTGGCTAAGTATTGCATTTTATGTTAATTTCTTGCATTGAAATTTTTGAAAAGGGAATATCTCTATGATAAAAATTGCAATTATGTAAATAAATAATTAAATGTAATATACATATACATATATATACACACACACACACACACACGAATACACGCAAATACACATACATTATATATATATATATATATATATATATATATATATATATATATATGCGTACATTAAGTTAAAATAAACATGAGTGTAGAGTGTAGGATATGCTTGATTGATTAATTGCTTTTAAGGTCAAAGGTTGCGAATAGCCCTAATATATTTGCCAATCGGTTAGTCTTTATAAAAAGTATTTTTAAATGATAAAGATACATTTGTATCATGGGCATGTATATATTGAAAAAATTATATTGTATAAAAAGTTAATGCATAAGGAATACAATATATGTTAAACTTAAAATTTTAAATTTAATTTTAAACTTTGCATATTTCTATCATGTTTTTTTTGCTATTGTAAATTTGAAATTGACTTCTCTTACAATAACAAAAATTTTATAGCGAAAGTTATTATTAAATCATTGTATTTTTACATTAATTTTAATTATTGTTATTTAAGAAATTAAAATTAAAATCTACTTAAATTGAACGATATTAAAAATGAAGCTTGTTAATATTTTATATCTTTGAAATTTAATATTTAAACAAACGACATTTTTCTTCTTTTACGATTCCTTCTGTTTAAAATCGAGAAATACAATATGTGTGATTTTTATCATATCCTTTATACGTTACTTTGAGAGAGAACGAACATCATTCGTCATTTAGCCAAATAGGAACAATATTTTTTTTATATATATTGCAAATTAAATTTTCCATTGACTTGTTGTTTATATAAATTAATACAAGAATTTGTTTTAGATCCTACACGAAGAAAAACTTCTTTTTTCATGACTGATTAGTATATCATTTATTATTATAAAAAGTGTATATAATAGATACATATTACATAATTATTATTATAAAATTATACATTAAAACCATTTAAAATATAATTATCTAAGCTAATAATATATATATATATATATATATATATATATATATATATAACTTATACACACATGTATACATGTATTATATACACATAGATATACACATATAGAGAAATCATTAAAAATTAGTATTCTCAATAAATTCTAAGATATATATTTTAGATATATGTTATATAGAAAAATGTTTCCAATAAATAAAGATTATTTGGTTTGAAGAAGTATAATCTGTGTTCGATACAGTTTTGTTTTTGTTAATTAAATATTACTTTTGAGATTTTAAGGGATTTCTTTTAAATGGTAGATCCAGAATTACATGTTTATTCTTACAGTTCCCTATTCCCTTTATTATTCTGTATATAAAATTGTGCCGATTATAGAATGTGTCTTTCTGATGAACACAGTATGTAATCTTTCGAAACCAAATAATTCATATTTGACGCATTTTCCTATGTAAAATAATTTTCTATGTAAAAATTTATATTTTAGAATTTATATATTGAGTATGTATATGTATATATGCGTGCGTACTCTTTGTATATATGTATATACATATGAGTACGCGTGCGTGTTTTTTAACATATCTAAACATTGTTATATAAAATATTTTAGTTGATACAATTATTTATTGATTTCATTACTACAGTCACAATATTCAAATACAAAATCGAATTCTCCTGTTGAGCAGTTGTTGAAATCGAGCTTTAAATTTTTTCTTCAATCCTCACATTCTTATATATTCTAATATGGAAAATAAAAATATATTAGATACATAATCGATTTAATCGATTAATATTATAGAATTTTTGCCTTTCTTTCACTTTATGCACGATTACATCACATATACTGAGTAAGCGGAATAGGAATAAGCGAAATTATAGTTTACAGAGAAACAACCATTTATAATGGGAGAAAATCGAATTAAAGAGACTTCAGCAGAGTTCGATATGCATTACATTAGATTTTGCATATATATTTTGATTATATTTTTCACGATATCGATAAAAGTATAAAATCTCTCTCTCTTTCTCTCTCTCTATCTCTCTCTTTTATCAATCGTACGAAAATAAAACTTTAATGCTTATTATATAGGATTGAAATTAAAAATGAGAGCAACCAACTCAACAGTCATTTTTATTTTTTATTTTACAACGAAAGGCTCACAAATATTTTTTAATTAAAATCTTACAATTGTCTACAAGCGAATAAAAAAAAATCGAAAAGTCAAAGCAAACGTGTCGAGTTTCCGGAGTCGCAACGAATAATATATTAATATAATCGGTATGAAAAATCGTATCGTGTGCCGCGGGCTCAAGTTTCGACTATGAACACGGACCTAAGATTAATTAATAAGCGAGTAGTAGCAAGTGAGATTTTGAAAAATGGCGCAACGTTAGAAACGCGCGCGCAAACAAAAGAAAATTATGGCCGAGGGCATCTCTAGATATATGTAAGCTCTATGGCAGAATCTGAAAACGGAGTAGAAAGTGTGCAACCTAAACTTGAATATTACATGTTGACAACTCAACAGTTTTCTCAGCTAATCGCGTTAAATGCACCCATTGATATGATCGGTTCGATCAGTTCGATATAGTTCGTTAGAATGACATCGTTTTCATAAAAATGTTCACTTTTTCTTCAATCATCAATTTTCATTCTTGATGTAAATGTGATATAAATGTTTTGCTTAAGCTTATTATATAAATTATACGATTGTCTCGCGAGTTATATCATTTTATACATAGTACTTATTAAGTAACTGTGATAACTTACAATTAGTCATAATAGTAGTATGCGTCATCTCTGTGCTATGTTCTCTATTGTTCAACAATTTCTTTCGAAAGTTTTCGAAAGTGAAATTATGGCCGCAGCGCAAGGAAACTCAAATTAATTCACATTAAGTGAGTAAGAATTTAATGCCTTTAATATTGAGAATTGTCTCTTTTATAACAATTTTTTATAATTTCTTATTGCTCTCTTCAAAAAACTACATACATATGTTTAATTGCATCTACTAAAACTGGTAAGCTAGTTAAGAGAAAATCCCAATATATTTTAAACTCTGAATTTTGATCACTTAAAAAATATAATCCTGTAATAATGTGCATATATTAAAGTAGTATTGTAAATAAGTTATAAAAATATATCGCACTTTCAGTAATGGTAGCTACTGGTACCACAGTTTTGATGGCAGCTAGCGAGGAGAATTTGTCAAGTAAGACGGAAAATACTACGACACGTTTGGTGAATCAAAATATTTGTTTGCAAGGTGGCGAATTACAGCATTATGATCAAAAGAACATTGAATCATTGATTAAGGAAGATGTGACTACTTGTTCCTCTAATATTAGTAAGTACAAAAGCTATAGATTATATATATTAATTGATTATATTTTCTCAAATTGTATCTTGATAGATTAAAAAATAATAATACTTTAGAATTTATACCAATACTTTTAAACAATTGCTTGTGTAAACCTCAGATATCTTGCTTTCACATGTCTTTAATTTTATGCCTTTAATTTCACAGTAAAGAAGAAGCAATGTAGTCTTACAGCGGAGAAGAATAATAAAATAATTTCTAAGATAGAGTCCAAGGAGAATAAAAATAAAAATTGTGCAATTTGTAAAACTACTCAAATTCGTGAAACCAAAACCTCTAGATTACGAGCTGCTTCTATAATGTTATCCAACGGTGAGTAAATATTTTAAGTTATCTATGTTTTAAAAATTATATAATTTTAATTATATATTAATTTTACATATATTTTTTACATATTTTTTGTATCCCAATATTTTCTAAACTATAAAGTATTTTTCTTTTAAAAAAATATGATATTGTACTATTGACTGTATCATTTTTTTTTCTAGTCTATTTAATAATTTTTTAATGTCTGATATTTATTTTTTCCTATTTATATTTTCAAAAGGTAGATTATATATATTTTATATTATTTGAAATAAAACATTTAAAACATTAATATATTAATGTATTAATACATTAATATATTAATATTTAATATGGGATATACATGTATAAACTTGACGAAATGTTATTAACTATGATAAGTATGTTATTAATAAGTCAATATCATTCTATGATACAATATATTATTACAGTATTATAATTCTATTATATGTTTTAATATATTTATAATATATTATGCATTGAAAATTTCAAAGGTATAAAAATATATTTTAAATTTATCTAAAACATATTCATTTGACTTTCCAAAAAATGTATTTACTTTTTATATAAAAATAGCTAAAAAAATAATAAATTTTATTATCATTTATATATTTGGTTAAATTTAATTCAATCAAAAAATATATTGATTATGAATTAATTACTAATAGTTATCTGGAAACAATTTTTTTTCTCTGGAAACATGTAGTGAGAATTGATGTTATCTAACTGACACACACACACACACTCATTTATTTATACACATAATTATTATATAGGTATTATATAATTATTTCTTTTTAGAAATGGATGTAACATTATCTAAAAAACGTGGATCAGAAGCTCCTGGTTCTCAAAGGTGCAATTCATCAACTAAACAAGTAAGTATTTATTATTATTATTTGATAATTACATACAAATGTTAGATATAATAATATCTAATAATACATAACATATGTATATTTAATATTTAATATTTTTTGCTCAATATCTAAAGTCTCTTTGCCTATTTTTTTATAATAGCGAAACTAAATAATAGCGAAACTAAATAAAAACGTTATTGTAAGATGTAACAAAATCTTACTTTATACGCTACCGAGAAAACTATTCAGTATCATCTATATGATAAAAATCATAAAATGATACACATTTTACTGCAAGTAGTATTAGTTAAGTAAATTGCTATAAGAATTTTAACTATTAATAGCTATAGATTTTAAATGCTAAAATTTATATTTTGCTATCTATTTATTTTTATTTTGATCATTTAATAAACATTTAATTTAAAAACTGATTTTGAAGTGTTGATTGATGAAGTGTTGATTGATAATTAAATGATTCAAATACATAATAATACAAATACACAATAATAATAAATTTGTATATCAAAAGTAATGAATGAAATACAATTCATGGGAATTACTTTTGGAAGAAATCATTTTTTGTTAAATTAAAGGTAATATTTTTTATTGTTTAAAAATTAATATATTTCTTAACTATTTAACATTTTTGATTTTAATAATTTTCACAATTTTCTTAGAAATATGTATAAAATTTCAAAATTACAAAATAAAATCAAAGTTACAAATTAGTATAAATAATAGAATATTAGTATAAAGTGTTTTAGGATTTTTTATAATGACACGAAAGATAAACCAACTCATAATATTGACAATTCTCTTCCACAATGAATACTCATAAGTTAATATAAAGTTAACATAAGTTCATAGGGAAAAGTTTTAATACAAAAGTAAAATAATTGTACATACATAAAAAACTATACAAACATAATAGATACATATCTTAGAAGTTTCTTTTATGCAAAATTAAGCAATCTTTTCAGAGAATCTGCTATAAAAAATACTTCTCTATTTAAAAAAACAAGATTGATCTTTATATAATCCTGAAAAATGACTTTAATTGAAAACAAGATCACTAACTTTTTTCCTCTCAAAATCTTATAAAAAGTTTGTCTGGAACATTTTTGTCTATCGAACTTAGTTTCGAGATATTCAGCTAAACTGTTTAAAATGAAACACTGTACATAAATACATACATAATTATGCATACATATATGTACATGTATTATTATGTATTGTGTATATATGCAGATATTTTTATAATGTATATTTCTGTGTATAGAAAAATTCCACATCTTTAGATGATGGTGTTACCGTGAATCCTATCAAGGAAAGAGATAAGACCTACAAACGAAAATCTTATTTAAATAAATCACGTCATGTAGAAGCAGTGTCTACAGATTATTCAAGAGATGGTAAGAAATTTATTAATTTATTATTTTTTAATAATAGATTTTTGTAATGAAATATTTTCTTAAAATACCGAAAATTGTATAAAAATACTTCTACAATTATTTTTTATACTTCTTCATAATAGTTTAGAGAAAATCATAATAGAAAAAATCATAATAGAAAATATTTTGAAAAATAATAAAGATAAATGATAAAAAAATTTGATGTAAAATCATAAACACGATAAAATCAAAATTACTTAAAGGGAAAATAGTTTTGTGGAAGTTTCTAATAAAAACTATTTGATTTTTATGTGCCATATGTATATATGCGAGCATATGTACATATACTTTTACGTTATACAATTTATAAAATGACTGTTAACTAAAATACTTTAAGATTAATTTTATATTACTGTAGACTCTTTCTCTCTCTCTCTCTCTCTCTCTCTCTCTCTCTCTCTCTCTTTTCAATAATTCGATATATATAATTTTTAGTGGATTCCAACGAAAGACGCTTTAGAAGGCAATCTAACAAACAAAATCAAGTATCTGAAATATCAAGTTCTATTGGTTCTTGTAGCAATCATCAAGTAACAATTGCTAGTCCACGCAGAAAGTATATCGATTCAAAGATAAGTGAAGCTCAATGTAGCAATATGAAGAATCTCTCGAAGACTTTCCCATCATCATCTGTTGCGTCTACTGTCAGCACAAAGCGTTCCATTATACAGCAACCTAGGTATATATATACAATAATCGATGTATTTACACGAAGCATTTAAGATAAATCTGCATTTTACATATCTATGTACATATAGAATGTCTTATTTTGAATAATACGTTAAAATATTTTGAAACGTAAGGATAATGTTTGAAATATAAACGTTATTTGATATTGAGGATAATATTTTGTCAATAATATATTTTTATTCTAAATGCAGTTATATATTTTCAGTTATATAATTCAATTTTATCTTTTTAAATTATATTTTTGTTATATAAATCAATTTTTTCATTATTCTTGAATATAAAGTGAAATGAAAAGAAAGTAAATAATGTATAAGATATTTTATGTTGTTTCAAAAAAATGAAGAAATATATATACCTGTTTGTAGATACATGCATATACGCTTGCATATATGTGCTGTAAGCAAATTATGAATTATATTTTTAAAAATAAGTGTGTGTGTGTGTGTGTGTGTGCGTGCGTGCGTGCGTGCGTGCGCGCGCGCGCGCGCGTGTGTGTATTCCTTGTAATTTTCATAAAAATATTAGAAAACGCATACAATAAAGAAATTTATTTTAGAAACTTGCATCAAATAGTCTTTGAAATAATCTGTTTATCTAGAATTTTAAAAAATATCTGAAAGATTAGGACATTTTTTACAAGACCAGACGTTTTGAATATACAGATATATGTATAAAATATATTAATTTTTTAAATATTTTTACATACAGAATGATCAAAATGGGATTAAATGAGGGAAAATTGATTTATTTTTAAAGAAACATATAATACTATACAAAAATAAAAATTCTAATTTTTAAAGTGTCTTTTTATCTGAAACAAAACCATTCTAATGTTCTTAAAACAAAATATTTAACTAAAATTTAACATACATCAATCGTTATGAGTAATAATATGGAAATTGTAAAATAGAATATCTTGTATATAAATATATTATATAGATGTTGCATTCATCTCATTCCATTAGTATTTTATTAGCAAAAGTAATATTGGAAAGAAAGCGTAACTAATTATAATTAAAATTGACTTTCATTCTTCAGTAGTGACGATTCGGAGGTTTCACGCAAAGTGGATATGTTAACGGCGCTAACGCGAGCTACCATGGAACGTGTGGAAAGACTCGCATCTGCTACAGGCTACGCGAATCATTCGACCGAGAAAATGTCAACCTCGCCAAAAAAGTGTAACGTGTCGAAGCATGCGCCAATTTCAATCCTTAAACATAAAACAGTCGATGGCGAAGGAAGCGAACGTCAAACGTCATCCAGCAGTTCCCCTCACGTGCCGTCACCAGTAACTTTCTCGCCGTCTGTCGTGGAACCTGTCTCTCACAAAAGACACGGTATCCTGAAGAAACGGAGCAGTCTAGATGAAAGTGAGATATTACGTCGTCGTAGCTGTTCTCCCGATGTTTTCTTTGCTGATAACAACTATTCGGAGTTTCGGCCAATCTTAAAAAATCAAAGGCGATCATCATTAGATGAAATCGTCAAGAGAGATCAGAGTCCTGATCAACAGCCTGCTTCGATATTGAAGCGCAAATCGTCTAAAGAAGATGACAGAGAGATTCACCAATTGCAATTAGGATTTCCAGAGCCGCAGAGTATTCTAAAACGAAAACTCGCAAACAATGTGCGCGCTAATAGTGTTAATCATCATGTGACTATTGTGTCGGATGTCGTAAACACGAATGCAGGTGGAAACACAATCGCTAATACGACTACGAGTTTAGTTTCCGATGGTCTTGATGGATCTGAAGTGAGGCCGATCTTAAAGAAAAAATATGGCAAGGAAGAATTTGCCGGAGGTGATGTTTCGTCTCTCGAGCCTCGACCTATACTAAAGAAGAAATTAAGTACAGACTCGGATGAACACGAGCATGATAGGCCAAAGAAGACAATTTTAAAGTCTTCACGGAAAAATTCATACGAAGAGGGCGGTTATGAGACAGAGTCAACTTCACCGAGAAAATTGTCCGCGTTAAAAAATCGAGCAACTGAAATCGAGAATGTACGACCTATATTGAAGCAATCGAGCAGTAGTCGTTATCATGATGATACGCGCGACATAACGACAAACTCATTTTTGCGAAAGAGAGCCCAATCCGTGGGCCACGCGCGATCCATCAACGACGACGATTGTGTCGAGTCAATCCGCGTCTTAACTAAACGAAGGTCTCTCGAGTCAAGCTCACCAATCGATGTATTGCATACATCGACAATTGCAAGTTGCAGTTTCACAACCGATCGACCCGATGTATGTGACATCTCCTATGCAGAAAATAGGTATGTTTAAATTAATATGATAGAATATGAAGGAATAATTGTTTTATTAAAACATTATATACAAACAACAAATATACAATTATGTGAATTAATGATACTTAGAACATTCAAATATCAATAAAATATTTTGTAACACATAATTTATTAAATCTTTATTTTTTTGTATCGATAATATGAAAATACTCTATGTCATGGAGGAAAGTTGCTTAACAGAAACTCCCTTAGAATTCTCAAGGATTTTTTGATCCTTGAAAAATGAAAAGGAATTCTCATTTTATTGGAATTCAGACAATTTAAAAAAAAAACAATCTCTCTGACGAGTGTGTTTCAGAAAACTGTATTCTTATAACATTCAATGCTAGTATACTGGATCTAAAAGTATGAATCAATCACATTCGATTGTTGCTAAGTTAGTTTTTTCTCTGCTCAACGCGTCCAATTTTGCTTTTATATTGTAAGCAATTAATAATTTATACTAATTGGCCAATTTGCAAATTATATGTACTTGAAATATATTATAAATATATATCCATCTCTACTTTAATAAAATATAGAATATGCAATATTTTTTATAGTACTTTTTAGTGATAAAAATATAAAAATGTTAAATAAAAAATGTTTTTCTTATGAAAGCTATTTAGTTTTTTTTCAGTATATTTTTAAATCTTTTGAAACATTTTTAAAACCTTTGACACTTGAAAGAGGAACTCTTTATTTTTTCTTTGTATAAATAAAAAAACGTTAGAAAACACACACAATAAAAAAAATTTTGAAAGTTGCACTTAAAAGTCTCTAAAAAATTTTATTTACATAGAATTTTGAACAAGTAAAGTTAAAAAATTATGAAATTTTCAAGAATTTTTTTACAAAATTTGAGTAAACACCTTATTTAAAAACTCTAGTTTAAAGATCTTAGAATCTTGATGTAAGATTGTATTATTATTAATACTTAAATTCTATTTGTTTTTATATTATTAGTGAATGAAGGGATGCTTCAATATTTTTTACAACTTTTGTGTGACAAATATTTGTTCCTACATGGAACAAAATTTTTTAATTTTAATTATTTAAGAGTGCATTAATATAACTACATATTTTTTAATTAGTAGAAAAGTGAAAAAATTCTCTCAATAAAATTCACTTATCTAAATTCAAATTTAAAAAAGTCTATGTCTAGCCATTTGATATACAAGTGAGATCTTTGTATATACAATTTTTTTTCTACAGCATCACTCCAATAAAAGAATTGAGTCAAATTCTGATTCTGTTGATATGATAGAAAATTTTCTTGCGCTATACAACATTATTTGAAAATTGGATCTTTTACAATTTATTATAAATAATGTATGAGTTTAGTGATACTTTGAGTCCATGCCAAGTTTAATTATAGACCATCTGCACACAAATCTCAAAGCTACGAGAAATCGAGGATAGTCATGTGTAATGTGTTTATGAATAAACGTTCCACGGTGCTGTGATTTGTGATTTGTTTAAAAAAATAAATGAGTTTATGAATATAAGTTATTAATATATACATATGTATATAATATTAGTGTGTTTTTATGTTTTTGTTTATATTTATGTTTTATACGTTTTTTTTTTTTTAGTTGTGCAGTTGAGGATAGTAAGCTGTCGTGTGGGAAATCCTGTCAAATCAAACAAAATCATATGAATAATACGGAGGAGAAGAATAAAATGGATTCTCATGTATATTTCGTGAAGCTCGACACCGACGTAGACACCGACAATCATCGCGATGGAATAGAGAATCTTACTCAGACGACTGACAAGAAAGAAATGAAAAACAAGGAGGATCGGCGGGATATACAGGAGAATTCTGCTACTATTCATCGCAACAATAGCGTGTCAAAGATGACACAACACTTTAAGGCCCTACAGGAGAAGGTGAGCGCTACAACTGGTGATTCTCAACATATATCTATGCAGAAATCATCTCGCGGTGTTCAACGTTATCGCGAACGTAAAAAGACGCAGGCCTGCGAAAGATTTAACACGCAACCGGTAACTTCTCAAGAAGTGCGTGAGGCAGTTTTACAGAATCAGCGCAACACCGTTGCGTTGAGTATTTCGGGAACACTTGCTAACGAACCTGAACCATCTAAACTCAGCTTAGCCGAACGCGTGCGACTTTTCGATCAAAAGATTACGACTTCAAATACTGCTGCATATCAGAAAAGATTAACTCAGAATAAACGATTATCCACACGCTACAAAACACAGCCTGTAACTTCCGAGGAGGTTGAAGTGGCGTCTCGGATATCTTCACTGAATGTAAATCATCAAATTCGAACCTTAATCGGAGGCAAGTATTAAATAAAATAATATTTGTATCGATTACATTGATAAACATGAAAAATATTTTCGCTTCTAAAATGATTAATTCTTATTAATTTTGATAAGGGAAAGGAATAAATTACATTTAAAGCTTTGAATTAGCTTTTATTTTTATGTAGCTTTTTTAGAATTTACAAAAATATTCAACTTTATCAAGAAAATTTTGAATCAAAAGAATTTGGATTGACATCGTACACCGAATCTAAGCCAATATCTAATCTAATGATTGAAACGTAAAGACATATTGTTTAAATTTATTTTTTTTTAAGTTAATTAATACAAGAGGCATTTTATGAAGCTACTGTTATTTTTAAACATTTTGCTTTGTTTAAGTTTAATTTTCAAGATTTCAATTTTCAAGATGCCCAATGTATCGACAATTTTTATTATGTATGTGGTGAAGTAACTTTTTCATTTCAGAAAAATGTACAATTATTCTTTTAATCAAGACAATATATCATTATTTCGGTTATAAGATAGAAAACCAAGACGAACTTTGAATGCTTTACTATAATTTATGTACAGTGAATCTTCGTAATTGATTGAGAAATAATGTAGGTCAATATCTTTTATTCCTATCGAGAGTCTGAAGATCACGAAAGTAATTATTATTTTTCGCATACAAATTAATCAGGAAGCGTTTAAGACTTGATATTAAATTAGTCTGCAAAACTTACTAAATTAAGATTAAAACTTATAAATTAAAACTTTTATTTTGTTAAAAAGATTAAATATATTTATATTTTGAAATATAGAGCTCTCTAATAAAAATATTATCATATTCTTTTTTCTCATATCATTTTTAATAAGAATTGACTAATTTTATAAAGGAAAGAGAAAATTTTGAGAAAATACACCAATTAGAAAGACTATATCGATTATAAAAAAACTTATATGTGAATAAGCAATAACAATTACAAAATAAACAATAATAACAATTTATTTTTTTCAGAGCATTCAAAGGAATATGAGAGACCACCTTATGCATCGCCGCTTACAAGCATGTTGCAGCAAGATTTACCAAAAAGTATTCTAAAATCGTCCATTGGTTATACGAAAAATCTTTGTACTAAAGTCGCAGAACTGCAAACTGCGAAATTGACAAAGCCTATGCTCAAGAGGGAATCTGAGGAATCGGAACAACCAGCTATCTTGTCGAATTCCGAAGTGTCTCTTCGTTCTATTCTAAAGAGTAATCTTAACTTGAAGCCTATTCAAAACGCGAATGGTGCAACAACATCGAAAAGTGAAGGAAACTCATGTGATATCGAGAGTCAAAATCAAAGCAGTGAAACTGCTAAATTCTGTGAGGGATTAGATGATAGTTCCGACATAACGACTAGTGTGACGCAACACAATTTACAATACATTTGCGACGATACGCAAGCAATTGTTTCTAAGAAAAGTGATAACGTAGAAAACAGAGCTACAGTGCCTTCTCATAAAACTGCGATATTTCAGAATGAGAAAATTCTATTGAATGACATAAATAACTGTAATATTGATACCATTTCGAACAATAGAATATTAATGAAACGCGATGATAAGTGGCATAATAATTTATCGATAGACAAATCGAATAGGATATCGGATCTTCGCAACGACAACGATAACAATGATAATGAGGACAACGAAAAAGGTGCCGATGACAAAAAAGAGAAGAGAACAATAGCGGAACTAAACGTTGACGACGATGATCAGGGATCGTCATCGTCCAATGATTATGAGGTACATAATATTATTGAGAATGAAAAACATACTGATATTACACAATGTTTTAATTCATTAACCAAGAATATCCATCAACACTTGCGGGATAATGAGAGGCGAAAAGCACAACAACGTTTGGAACAACCGTGTCGCAGTGCGACCCAGGTAATAGCATCCATAGAAACGAGCGAAATGCCGAATGTGAGTATTGCCGATCGATTGGCCGCACTACGTCACAGTGGTAACACAAGTTGGAAGCAACGCGTGGCCGATGGCAAAACTAATGAATCATTTGACAAATTATTGAGCGCGGACGAGAACACGATGCTCAAGTCAGGTGTGTTGGCCGACTGCATCGAAAAGTTAGAGTCCTCCATGGAAAGCTGGAAGAATAGAATCGTGATACCAGACGCGATTAATTTCACTGTTGCTGGTAAAATGAAAGTGGTCCAATCGAAAGACGAAAATTCATCATTTCTCACGGACACTATAGCGAATATTTCAAATCAAAAGAAAAAAGTACCACGTCCGCAGCGATTCAAAACGAGAAAAGGTAAAAAACGGGAGAGATATTTAATAAATAATAGATAGATTTAATTCTTGATTGAATACTAAATAAGAACAGAACTTGGTGAGAATTATATATCTTTTCACAGGTGCAGTATCAACTCCTACAAGTCCATGCAAAGATTTGTCTTCAACCATGCGTACTAGTTTCTCTGAACCTGCTAGCGACGACAGCGGTATTGATATAATTTCCATCAAAATTTGCTTTAAATGGCTATTAAAAATATTGTACTTTTAATCTCGCTGACGATTTACATTCTAAAGAGAACGAAGGAAAATATTCACACAATTTATAATATTATTTTAGCAGTTTTAACAGGAATATTTTTGTCATTGAATTGTTGGGACAGATGTGATTAATATTCTTACTAAAAAGTTGAACTAACGACAAATGTGATTTTTCTTTTAGTTTAAATATTTTCGATAAATTTTTATTTAATGAAATTAAAGTTTATTATATATAAAAAGTTATAGATTATTATATATAATTTTTATATGTAATTTTTATAGGTGAAGAATGTAAAGCGGAACACGTCTTGTTGCCAACTGTTTCGGTACTTAAAACGGATGATGAAACGTTTACCTCTTTCTTTAGCAATGTATCATTGGAAAAGTGCGAAACCGAATGTCTTGATTTAGATGAAAATGACTTCGATATAATTGCACCGCAATCCAAATTGTAAATTTGTGCTTTTTATTATCACTTGTAAAAGATTAAAAAAGAAAAGAAAGAAAATAGGAAAAAAAGTCCAACTCGTTCGAAATGTTTTGGTATGCGTATGTAAATATATCTAGAATCTAAATTACATTTTCTCGACAGATTAGTGCAAAAACGAAACATACGAACGCAACGTCGACGAGCCACTTCGAGAAATCCTCTAAAAGTTCTCGCAGCACGCACCGATTTAAGATCAGAATATACCGAGATTCGTACAGACATAGTCGCGAGAACGATCAAAAACCTTAACGTAGAAAAACGTGAGCATATCTAAATTTCTTTGCCGCTTTATAAAGGTGTTTATTCTCTAGAAAAATATGAAAGACCCAAAATTTTCAAAGTGTTTTTTGTACCTTAAAAAACCAGGAAATATTCTCATGGAATTTTATTGGGAATTTTATTCAGAGTTAAAAAAAATTCCTTGATGATTTATTCTTAAAATATATATTGCATTAATAATAATTTTGTATTGTATTAAAAAAGTGAAAAATGAATATAATTTTGTATTCTATTAAAAGAGTAAAATGTTCTCTGAATTAGATATTTATCTAAATTCGTTAAAAAAATTTTACGTCTAACTACTCAATATATATTTTACAAAATTGCATCAAAAAAATCTTTAAATCTTTATTTTTTTATCTGACATTTTGAATGAAGGATCAGTATTTTTTTGCAAAATTTGAGATTAGACATCTTATTTGCACATTTCAAAATGTTTCGATTAAGATTCAAAATTTTTTAATTAATTAATGTTTCAGTCGCAAAGAATTCTTCCTTCTCTGTTGAGGCTCTCGCTGGTTTAGCGTCTACCGAAGACTTTAGCACAGTGACTCTGAAAAATATATCAGAAACAAATGTATCCGCGAATAAATTGCAACCATATAAAGATATAATGTTGATATTAGTTAAAGGAAGACGACATGTTCAAGTTAGACTGGTTGAGCCTATCGCCGAGAGTATCAATAGCGGTGATAATTATTTATTAGTAACGAAATCGGAGGTAATAATATATAAAATATACATATATAAAATTATATACATATATAATAAAATACAACATACTAGTTGACACTTTCATTTTTTTAACAAAATAAGTAGCAATATAGAAAATATATTAATCATTCTGAAATAGATATCAAATATATAATGATCATCTATGATGATATATATACATATGGTGACTATATATGAGTCAGATCTATAGGGTGTTTTTAACTTGGACACTGTAATATATCTTAACTTTGATAACGTTATTCAAGATCGTATTAATATTACTATATGATGCGCTACTTAAAACTTTATAATTTTTGTATGGAACATTTTTTGCATTGTTTTCGAGATATTATTACAGTTAAAATTGTCCAAGTCGAAATAGAACAATTTGTATAGTAGATTTGTATTAGAGTGTAGAATATTTATCGATCGGATTTTGTACTTTCTTTCTTTTTTACTAATTACTAATAGTTAATAAAATTGGCTCTCGGCATCACAGATTTTCAACTACATAGGGAGATACAGCAATATCATTGAAAAAACCCGTGCCGTTGAGATCGCGTTGAGCATTCAACAACGAAAGGATCTAGGTTGTCAAGCGACTAAAATTATTTCTGTAAACGAAGATAAATTAAACTGTACGAAGGATGAAGTCCAACAATTTTGGAAGTATCTTGGTGTGTTCAATAATGAAAGACTCAATGGTATGTCTTGCATTCTTATTGTTTTGTAATGCAACATTATATTTTTTTTATATGCCCATCAATAATATTATTATAGTTGTCGAGGCTGGTCATCCTGATGAAGATGAACTCTATGAATCTGCTATTATCGATACAAATATGGTATATGAATTGAAAAATGAACAGTTAGTGCCGCATGAAAAGTTCTGGGGTACATTACCTAAGATTGAAATGCTCGATAAGAACAAGGTAATTGCTTATTTCATCTTAAAATACATAATTATTATTTAGATAATTCATAATTCACTTTTCATTTAAATAATTCATAATTCACTATTTCATAAAATATAAAATATTTATAAAATCTGCTAAATAAAATATAGCGAGAGAGAGAGAGAAAGAGAGAGAGAGAGAGAGAGAGAGAGAGAGAGAGAGAGAGAGAGAGAGAGTTCTTAAAATATTAAATGAGTAAAAGTGCTGAATATATATTGGGTAAATCATTACGGTTATATTCTCCATTCGGAAATTTTACCAGTAAATCATTAAAATATTTTAAAATATTTTTAAAAATTTTACATATAAGGCTTTTTACAGAAAGATTGAAAGATATAAAGATTTACAGAGTTCACAATATAAAGTTATGAATTTTGGAGAGAATAATGAATAGTGAAAAATGAAAACATTCATATTGTGTTTATTCTCAATTATTCAAGGCAACCAGAACCGAGGGTTCTTTTTAATTAATCAATTAGTCCTTAAAAAAACGATTTATTTTTATTTTGTGGTTAGATTAAAGAATTAAAAAAAATAAAAGATAAAAATATTATGAAACGTATGTGATTTTAAATTGTAACTATTTTGATTTTTTATATCTACATTTTACAATCTCCAAAATTACTGCTGAATAAAAAATGTCGTAAAGATTGCTACTTATAATTACACACTTGCATACTTTTACAAATTTCAAGTACATTAAAACTTTAATTACATAATAGTTTATCGTTATCGAAATATCTCGGTTGTGCATGTCTAAACAATAAATTTTTTGATAATTTGTTTCATTTCTCTTTCTCTTCCTTCTATCCTTCTTCCTTTTTCCCTTTCTTCTCTCTCTCTCTCTCTCTCTCTCTCTCTTTTTGCAAAATTGATTGGATATGCTCAAAACCGGAAATCTATTTTTACTAAATCTATTTTTGGTTTAAATTTCATTTAAAAATTGTCTTCCTTATTTGCCTTTTTTTGCGTCCTCTTTTACGTCCTAGAAATACATAAGGCATTATATTATGTTGTATGTATTTTTTTATACTTCTCGCAAAGATCCTAGTGTTTGACTTTGGCACCGAGATGTATATTTGGAGTGGTAAAGGAGTTACGGCGGACAAAAAGAAGCTCGCCACACGACTTGCCACGGAGATGTGGAATGATGGATACGATTACAGCGAATGTACTGTTTGTCCGATTAACGCGGCTCGTTTAATCGGTAATCGGACAAGTTCCAGTTCATCCGTAAAATCCGCCAAGAGCAGACCTGAGTGGTGTTTACTTGCTAAATTGACACAACACGTGGAGACGATACTCTTCCGAGAGAAATTTCTCGATTGGCCTAATGTCACAAATGTGATAAAGGCGCGAGGTCGAAAGGACAATATACGACAAATCGATGGTGTTATAAATATACACTTGGATGATAACGACGATATGTGGTTACCGAACACTACTTCAGTTGATCTAATCTTAGAAGGATGTCATTTAGGTAGAGGCACTGGTTATTACGATAACGAGGTAATTTGTTCTTTTATTAGTACGATTTAAGAAATATTTTTTCTTCATTTATGTATATTAAGTGTATAAATAAATTATTCACAATTTTTTATGAATATTAAATTTTATAAAAAATACTGGAAAATTTATTTATACACTTATATATTGAAGGCAAAATATATAAGGTGTCTGTTTCTTGGAAAAATATGAAAAACGTGGAAAACGTCTCAGGAATTTCTTTTTTAGATGAGGGAATACTTATGGAATTTTTATTGAAACTCAGGAAATTAAAAAATTTTATATTCTCTTTTTATATCTTTCTCTTAGTTTATTCTTATAATGTAAACAATTGATAAGCCAAGTGAATGATGTATTTAGTATATATTATAAATATATATTTATTTGTTATATCTATACGTTTATACATTCAATGTATTAAAATATTGTTATATGCAGTATATATTCTTTTTAAGACCATTTTCAATGATAAATAATAAATAAAAATATTATGAAAAATGTTTATCTCACAAAAGTTTATTAACTTTTTCTTTTCAGTACATTTACAAATCTGGAATTTAAAATTTATAAAAGGTTTTATATTTTTATTTTGTATAGGTGGAAAACACATTAGAAAACATACGTATAATAAAAAATTTATTTTAAATTTCATCCAAAAATCTTTAGAATATTTTCTTTATCTAGAATTTTGAAGAAAAATACTTGGAGAATCAGAGAATTTTTGAAAAAATTATAAAGTAATTTAATTAAATTATTAATAAAGACATAAGCGTTTTTTAATACACTTTCGTTTATAAAAAAATATATATATGTATAATCAATATTCGACTAATTACAAAACTAACTAATAGTTTCATTTTATTTGATTTTAGCTAAGGAAAGAGTATGTCGTCGTTACCACAAACGTGATGGTATGGCATATCGATGAATTCTCGCATGCACTTTTAAATGAATCGTCTATTGGACAATTCTATTCTGGTGATAGTTATATCATTCAATGGTTGTACTCTGTTACTATTACTGGTAAGTCTTTTGTTATATAATTTCGTGAAATTGAAGAACTTATTTCTATAGCGTGTTTTAAATTCACATATTTTTTAAAAATATTTAGAAAAGAAATGAAAAATTTTTTACCTTTATACTTTAACTTTGTAACATAATCTTTATTTTCTAATAGTAAGTTTAAAAAAGTTATTAAGTTTATAAACTTATAGTTTATAAGCTCTTTATGTATATGACTACGTTTACACGGCTTCAAATTACGATTTAATAACGCTGATATTATAACTCCTATTTAAAGTGAGTTGTGTTTATACGTTCAAGCTTGTCCTATCCTCACCAAGCTAAAATAACTTAATAATTTTCGAGTGAAGTGAGTCCAAGAAATGATACCAATGAAGTGATACTAAATTTGCAAACAAGAGAAAGTTAAGATGTTTAATTTTAACGGCGTTATTGCCATCGTTACACTGTGGCCGTTTATACATTCTTTTTATGTCGATGTAGTAACGCTAAGCCTTTTCGCCAAACGACTTTGAGTTCCTACATCGATGTAATAACTTCATTTCGTAAAAGAGCGTTTAACACGGCATCTAACGTCAGTAGTAATAATATCAATGTTAGAACTTCGGCGTAAATCAAGTCGTGTAAACGTAGTCTATGTTTGTGTAAATTTTTTTAATTATAAAAGTTTTAACTTTCTTAAAGTATACAATTATTTTTACATGTTCATTTTTGTTTTTTGTGTTCATAGGTAGGGAACTCACTGGTTTGCCGTCTAAACACTTGGCAAAGGGTCGAGATAGATCCGTATATTTTATTTGGCAGGGCAGAAATGCATCTTTGAATGAAAGAGGTGCTGCAGCGTTGCTAACAGTCGAATTGGGCAATGATCGAGGCCCTCAGGTGAGAATAATAAAAAACAATCATATATGTGCTACTAGAATTATTTCATTTATTTGATATAAATAGACTTCTAATAAAGAGACTTCTATCGATATAACTATAAAGTACAAATCTGTTTTCTGTATATTACACAAAAATCGCATTATAATTGTGATGTGCATAATCAATGCAAAAATTGCGCTATAGTATAACTTAAGAAATTATTATCAGATTATAATGACAAAATGTCTTTCTGGAAAAATATGGAAAACCTAGAATTTCCAAGGATTTCTTTTTTATCTGAAAAAAATCAAGGAATTTTTATGAAATTTTATTGAGAAGGAAAAATTTCTCTGTTAAATTCTCTGTTTTGAAATATTGAAAGTGCAATATATATTTTTATTGTAATTTTTAGCGAAAGATATTATGTAATTATATAAATATTCCGATATATGGAGGATTTATATTTACAGATTCATGTTGTCCAAGGACATGAATCGGCTGCATTCTTAAATTTATTCTCTGGAAAGATGATAGTGCACAGTGGTAAGAAATCTGAGAAAAAACATGAGCAATGGAGATTGTACATTTGCCGAGGTACTTTAAGTTCTGAGACATTTTTGATTGAAGTCTCTTGTAGCACTCGACAATTGAGAAGTAGAGGTTCTTTTGTATTGTTAAACACCAAAAGTGCAAAAATATACGTCTGGCATGGAAACAACTCATTACGCCATATTAGAGAGGTATTTTCCATTAATTTCCATAAAAATTATTATTATTATATAATAAATATTAATATATTAATATATTATAAATATTATATAATAAACAATAAAAATTATTATTATTATATAATAAACGTACAATATTAATTAATATTTATGTGCACGTGGCTAGAGTTTTGCAATAAATCTCGCATTTTGCGTACTTATAATATAACAAATATAAATAATAGAAATTAAATAGTGGTAGTTTCTTTTTTTAATTTTAGTTTTTATATCATATATATTATGTAATTATATATATATATATATATATATATATATATATATAAATATTCCAATATATGGAGGATTTATATTTACAAATTCATGTTGTCTAAGGACATGAATCGGCTGCATTCTTAAATTTATTCTCTAGAATTTATTCTCTATTTTAATTTTATTTCTTTTTCTATATCACTTTGTTTTTGTTTTTTTTTTCTCTGAGATGTTATTTTATACACAGATTACTTTGTCTCATTCTTTTTCTCTTTTTTAGAATGCAATAAAAGCAGCAAATCAATTGAAGAAAAATCGACCAGAGGAAGTCGAATTGTCAAACAAGGATAATATACAAATTCATGAAATTTATGAAGGTTCGGAGCCTGAAGAATTTAGTAACGGTGAGTGATCTTTTTAGTGAACATTGCGCTTTTATGATAGAAACACGTGCGCCTTTATGATAGATTTTAATTATAAAATATTTTGAGGTCACTAATGTTCATAATAATAAAATCATTGTCTTAAAAATATATTATTTTTATACATGTTTTCTCTAACTGAAGCACTTAGAATATCTCTGTTTCGTATCATTAAAGAAAACATCTGTTCTATGTGCTCGAGTTAAAGGAAACACCTTGTGTATATTTACAAGTTTATTTTGTGAGAAAGACATTAAATTTAGCAAATTGAATTCTATATGATTTTTTAACATTTTCAAATAATATAAATATAATATTATAATATCAATCATTATATATATATGAATTTGATGATTTTTATTACGATATTTAATGATGGAAGAATAAAAATGTTATATAAATGAGAAATGATTATCTTACGAAAACTATTCAATTTTTTTGGTAATTATTTATAGGGACCACACATTCCCCAATTTCAATAATTCTTATAGGTTATCAAGCTCATCAATCTGAATAATGTTTTGAACGTTTTAGTCGGTGATTGCTGCTTATTAAAAAGTTATAAATAAAAAACGTCTAATGTAATTTCATGATACCATATACCAACTGTACTTTGCAAAACGAAACAAAGTTTACTCAGTAAAAGTCAAAGTGAAATGTATACGGTGTCATAAAATTACACATTATCCATAAAGTTTTTTGTTTATAATTTTTTAATAAACAATGACTGTCCATTAAAACAACCTTCACAACATTACTCAGAGTGACAGACATTGATAACATATAAATGAGAAGTGAGAATTATATATTACAAGAATTATATAAACTCGAGAGATGTCTCTATAAAATAAATAATTATTAAATTCGCTTTACTTAGAATTAGATATAAAAATAAAGAAAGAAAAGAAAGAAAAGATTTTCAAGGAATTTTTTTTTGAAAGAGTAGGTACCCTATACACAATATATTTTTTCTTAAATTATATATTTAAAAAATAAAATTCTGGTGTAGAATTATGTATTTACAAATTAATTAAGAAACAATTTAGATCTCTTTCTTCTCTATATAGCTCTTTTAATTTTAATTTAGCAATCTAAACAGACAAAAAAATGAAAAATATAATGTAGAATAATGTCGTTTTTCTAACGACGTATTATTTTGTATTTTTCAGCATTAGGTGGTATGAATAAAAAATTATACTGGTCGTTGGAAACGTCTGAAATACAAGATCATACTCCAAGACTTTATCATCTATCGAGTATTTCTAAAACCTTTCGCGCAATGGAAATATTATGTTCCCATCGTGCAGATCTCACGACACCGTTTCCGTTTTCACAGGATGATTTATATCAAGCGAATCAACCAGGTATGATATTTCTAAAAGTGCACTTCAAATATTAATTCGTAGATAAGCATATAGTCGTTAATCCTGGTTTGAAAAAAGTTTTTATTTTATTTGACAAAGAGAAGTATTTTGTAATTTAGTATTTTATCAAATAAACTGGAAGCTTCTAATGTACTTTTTTAAAACTTTCTCTTCTATCAGCCTCACTTTTCTCCTTTTTTGTTTGTTTTTTGTTACAAATTATTACAAATTGTTATTGTTACAAATTAACTTATGAACTAAATATAAACAAATATACTTTCTTTAAAACATTAAAATGATACTAAATAATGATATTAAAATGATACTTAATAATGATTCTAAATAATGTATAGCCAATTTTGTTACATTTTTATTTGCGACATTTTTATTTATTTTTTTTTATTTTTTCTAAGTTTTAATTTTATTTTTATATATTTCAATAATTTTTAAAATAAAATATGAAGATGTTATTACGAAAATTTTTAGCAAAATTGTTACATAACATTCTTATATCGAAATCTGCAATTCTCTTTCAGCCTTATTTTTATTGGATGATACAAACGTGATTTGGATTTGGCAAGGATGGTGGCCTGATAATGGAACGGAAGATCAATCTGGAAGTAAAACTATCCGTTGGCAGGCTGAGAGAAGAGCAGCGATGACATTGGCGATACAATATTGGCGAAAGACTCGAAATGTGCAAACAACGAATTTACCAATATATTTAGTATGGGCTGGTTTAGAACCTTTGCAATTTATAAATCTCTTTCCTGAATGGATGTATCGGGATGATGTTGCTGAATTAAATATAGAAGTATGTTTAAAGAAATATATATATATGTATATTATATTTTTTCTCTGTTCAAATCTTTTTATATTTTTTATATTCTGCTAGAAACAAGGATTTAATTTTAAAGTAATAAATTCGTTTTTCTATGCATGTATGATTCATCATATTTCAAGTGTATGAAATTTATATATTATATTTCTAATGTATATTTATTAAACATATCAGGATGGCCGACATCCAGGAGAAGTGTTAACTGCAGAGAATGAATTGGCTCGCTTAACACAAAGCATATATCCTCCTGCTCAGTTATTGCAAAGACCTTTACCAGACGGAGTCGACCCTACACGTTTAGAATTGTATTTATCACAACAACACTTTCAAGTTAGTATCATGTATATATATTTTTGATTTGTGAATATAAACTCTCTCTCTCTCTCTCTCTCTCTCTCTCTCTCTCTCTCTCTCTCTCTATATATATATATATATATATATATATATATATATATATATATATATATATATATACACACACAGGATGTACGGAAAATCGCCCGCAGTACTTCAGGAAGTGATTCGAAATCCAATAAAAGGAAGGAAAAAAACTATATGAACATAGGCCCGGAAATAAATCATTTTCGAGTTATAGCCATTTTATATTAAAAAAATCGTAATTTATAGCCCGCATGACATCCCTCTTTTTTAAATTGAAAATTAAAATTTGAATTTAAATTTAAAAATTTAAATTTGAATTTAAATTTAAATTTGAATTTTAAATTTGAATTCAAATTTAAATTTTTAAATTCAAATTTAAATTTTTAAATTTAAATTCAAATTTTAATTTTAAATTTAAAAATTTAAATTTGAATTTAAAAATTTAAATTTGAATTCAAATTTAAAATTCAAATTTAAATTTTTAAATTTGAATTTAAATTTAAAATTAAATTTAAAAATTTGAATTTAAATTTAAAAATTTGAATTTGAATTTTAAATTTGAATTCAAATTTAAAAATTTAAATTTGAATTTTTAAATTTAAATTTAAATTTAAAATTTAAACTAAAATTTTTAATTTTTACATTTGAATTTAAATTTAAATCTAAATTAAAAATTTTTAAATTTCAATTTAAAATAAAAAAATTTAAAAAAGAGGGATGTCAAGCGGACTATAAATTACGACTTTTTTATTATAAAAATGGCTATAATTCGGAAACGACTTATTTCTGGACCTATGTTTATATAATTTTTTTTCCTTCTTTTGTTTTATCGTATAAGGCAACATATATTAATAATATATAAAAACTAGTAAAATACTTTTGTTATATTTAACAATAACATATAAACATATATTGATAATAACAAAAAAAATAACATATTAACAATTTGTCTCAAAAAAACTATAGATGATATGTTTCATGATTTAGGAACTATTGGGAATGAGCAAGGAAGAATTTCAACAGCTTCCAAACTGGAAACAAGTGAATCTTAAAAAAGAAATAGGATTATTCTGATGGATTGTTTTGACTGTCTATACTGTAATCGATAACTGTGTTTGCAAAATGTTCAAATTTTTATTGTTTCCGATATTTATAACTTGAAAATTGGAGAAAACTGTTTCTAAATGTGTTTTTGTTAAAACTTGCCATATATAAAACGAAATATTTCGATCGAGAGTATGTTAACGACGATAAACCTAATATAATAATTAACCGAAGATTAAAAATTAACACGGGTCGGAAACATTGCCAGCGCTATTTGAATTATGACGCATATATATAATGATATATAATAGGCATACAAACACAGATAATTATATATTTTTAATACCTGCTCGATGAGAATCTGCTTGCGAACATTTTCTTTATATTTGTATAATCTTTATAAATTTGCGTATGTGAATGATATGTTGTTCTACCTTATTCCTTCATGTATAATATCTATGTATAAGATTCATAACATATTCTACATTTTTAAATACTATTTTGTAAAAAACGTTTTATATATAATTTTTTTGTTCTTATATAGTAGTATTTAAAACAAAGTGAAAATTCCTTTATTCCTTAATATATAAATTATTCCTTAATATATAAATATGCGGAAAAGTAATAACAATTTTTTAATTTCAAGGATGCGATATATATGGTAAAAAAAATTATAGTTTCCCACTTTTCAAGATAATTATTTTTTCCCACATGTATATTTTAAAAAAATTTAATTTATATATAGGAGAAATATTTTATAGATAAAATAACATGTGTGTGTATATACTTACATATTATTTATTCACAATTATTCCTTGGAAATATGGCTTATGTTACATAAATATTTACAAAAGAAAAGCTTGAACATATTTACATTTTTTCATAACACAAATACATTTTTATAATTTATTGTAAAACTATAATAATATTGGCACTTTTGTGGAAAAAAATTGATGTGTGATGAATATTTTAATTATTCTAAACTATCAGGCAACAGTAATTAAAAATATACAAGATATAATAGTTTGATAATTAAAATTAATGAAATGTAACTTAGAAATGATTCAATACTTTTTGATAGATTTTCGTATAAGTGCTAATCTTTGTTTATGTGCTTCAGTGACAGTAGCACGTTTATATGGACGTACTTCATCTGTACCAAAACCAGGGATCCACATGTTCCAATTTCTTTCTAAAAATTAAAATATCAGATATAAATAGCATCAGTGTTCTTTGTGCAATTTATAGCAGTGAACAAAATTTTTTTTAAGTAATATATTTTAAAGCACTCAAAATTTATAAAGACATAATATAAATGAAACTTATAAAAACAAACTTTCTTGATAAGAATGCTATGATAATGATGTATAATGTTTAAAAATAGTATCAAATTAAGCAATTTTAATAGTTTTAATTAATTGATAATTTTTGAAAACTAAATGGAACAATTGAAGTGAGTATAAAGACTTAAAACATATGAACAAGGACAAATTTATTTTGAAAGAGACAACGAGCAATCAAATTTATATTTCTAATTTATAATCTATTTTCTTTTAAATAGTGTATTATAAATAATACAAAATATATGACTCACCCAGATGTAACTGTACATCTTTAACTTCCACTGTATTCGCATGACGATGCTTAGCCAATAGACAAGCTGCATTTACCGTTGTTTCTACAAAATCGTCCGCTAACTGTAAAAGCATTTCCTCCACTTCTTCATCCAACTGTTCGGTAGGATCTACTTCCCTTACCAAATCTTGTAATCTTGTTTTTGTTAAAAACTAAAATCAACAGTATAATAATAGTAGTCACGTAGTAAATGCTGCTAAATGTTACATTAAAAAAGTATAATACATTAAGATGACTGTGATTAAAACAAAGTGATAAATCATATTACATAATACACAAGGTAAATAAGGAAACTTGTATTATAAGATACAATGCTAATCATTTTTAATTATAAGTAGCGTATATAAGAAATAAATTATATAAAGATTTTATTTTTATGTTTACATAGACTACATACTTGTGGAAAATCGCTGAAGGAACTTGGAGTGGATGATTGTTGTAATACTTGTTTCGGAGACTGCGAAACGTATTGTGTTTGTTGAGATTGCGTCTGTGCTATAGTAGTTGTCGTGGTGCCACTGACATTGCTTTGCATATTGGGCAGAACCGAGGATGCCTGATTATTAGGACCTACAGACTGCAAAGTTCCGAGCATGGGTGTCATCTCGGAACCTGTGTTAGTTGTTTGCACGATAGCACTTTGTTGCGACATTCTTACGCACAATTCGCTAGATCTTTGTCAATCTCTCTGTTCGACGAATATTCCACTTTATTGTAATTCTGAAAAAAAGAAAAAATGAAAAAAATTTGAATAATGAATTTAGTTGAATGCAGTAGAAAAGATTGTATAAATTTACGCAATTTAACATAAATAAAGAAAATAATTAATTTTACGAATTATTATTAGCGTTATTTGATTAACTATATATAATAACTTGTAACAATAACTGTCTTATTATTTTAATTATATTATTGTAAATTTATACAAGATAGTCTTTAATTGTACATACATACCCTACTGCATCGCAAATTTACCGTTACATGTTTGATACGTTACACGAATGTTAGAGAGAGGTGTAGTTGAAACGTGTATAATGTCCAATGTGATGTGTTGAAAGCTTAAAATTCACAAAAACTCGTTTTAAAATCAGAGATAAGGACGTTAGCTCTTTCGCGAGGAGAGTAGAAGAATCACCGACTTTATAGGTTAGTTTTTTGTTACTGAACTTTCTGCACTAGTGTAGTACGCTAGTGACACCGGAGCGTTCTTTATCGCGGCGTGATACGACTGAAGTCCGTTCTTTAAACAGCCGCGATTGGTCAATGATGTTTTGTAAACTAGCCTGGAGCAGATTAAATCCGACCAATCGAAAACGCCCAAGTAGTTTGCCCAATTGAAAATGGCCGCCTCTGGGTGGGATCCGATTGACCACGTCGCCAATTGGCCAATTCAAAATAGGACTCTCTGATTGGTTAATCGTTGCTGGTTATCCTAGGCATAGGTCGATATAATTGGCTGCGGTCAATCGGGACGCCCCCGCCGTCTCTACGTACGACTTTGCGCTGTCGCGTTACCGATCGAGCATTCAGTCTCCTTTCCGACAGCGTGCGGTGTTAAGCTCCCGGTCCCGATAGTCCCGGTGTGTTAACTGCAATTAGCAGTGAATTAGCGGTCGGTTGACGACGCGAGGCGCGATATGCCGCGTTACCCACTGTTATCGCGCAAATTGTGAGGGATATATCGCAGATGTATCTACGGCAACGTAAAGAGAGAATATTCGCCTATCCGTCCGTCGTGCTAATCGATGAGGCGCACTTGTGTCGCGTCGAGTTTCGAGGTCTTCCATCGAGATTTCGCGATACGTTCGCGATGTACGTCAGACGTCATCTGTCGGGCCCGCAATAACGGCGACGTATAAGGAAGGAGCCAGCCTCGGAAAAAGACTCGAGTTTATTCATCGCGTATGCATGTCGAGAACAAAACCCTGCCTGTCTCTCTCGACGTGGAAGTCATATTTTACCTCTCTCCTTCTTTCCGCCATGCTCCGTCTCTAGCTTATCTTACCCTTCCCACTTCCTCGTAACGACGAGTCTTATCTCTCGTGCGATCTTTTTCGCTTTCTTTTTCCCTTCGCCTTCGAGACTTTTTTAATCTTGCTTGTTCTTATTGTCACGTATGGTTCGCGAACCGGTGTTCATCGTTCATTTCTCATTTAACTGTGCATAAGTGTATACGTACAGAGTGCTACTCCGACAACTACACAGACGACAAAAATAACTATCACCAGCATTGACGATATTGGTTATGCGACACATTTAAGGAAATGTGTTTTGACGCCAGCCACGAAGGGTAATTTTGTTTGGTATCATTGTGTATGTGGCCATCTATTTCATATACTTCTTTATACTTTTACATTTTTCTGCACCTTCTCTTTTTTTGTCCTTTAAACCGATATGTCGAATAAGATTTATGCTACGAACGATAAAATTTTATTATATTACATTGATGTTTCTTTTTTTATCAGGAAAGACTATAAACTCGCATCTTCTTAAATTAATAATTTTCTAATCATTCTTTTTTGTGTTAAATTTGTATAAATTAATTTATGTTTTTAGTTTTTTTACGTTATTTAATACAATTTAAAGTCTATTAGAAACAATTTTTAAAAATGTAACTCTTACTAGCTTTACGCGTTTTCATATTCAGGTCATTTTTTTTTAAATTAGCATAAGCTTGTGCTGTTAAAATATCTCGCTATTTTCTGTTCCTTTTAGTTAAAAAAAATGTGTAAACATAAAAATAGCACAATAATTTTGTAACATATTTATTGAATTTCTATAGGTTATAATATATTGTGCTAATTATTGAAAAGAATAAACAGAAAAATACAGATAATTGTAAAGATTGATTAAAAATCTGCTCAAAAAGGTGGAATGCACAAATATTTTTGAATTTATCGAATTTTGTGTGTGTGTTGGATGAGTATAACAATTCTTCTTATAATAAAGAGTCATCAAATCATTGGTTTTTAATATGTAATAGAGATTATGAATATAAGTTTTTACGAATATGAAATATTCTCATAGCTTTCAAATTGTAATATAATGAATCCAATTCCACAAATTGTATTAACAAAGTCGAATATATACCAATCAAAAAAGTATCGAAATTCACAGAGATTAAAAATTATGATTAAAACTTTAAAAGTGGGAGATATTTGTTAGTTCTAATATTAAATATGTTTGTTAAATGTTGTGCAGTCTTTATAGTATAAAAAATACATACATAATTCATAACTCATGTCATGAATTATCAAAGATAAAAATAAAAATTAGTTTTTCAAATTTCTATTGTATATTAAAAATCAATAATTCATGATATTTTTTTATCAAGAAAAATTGTTGCGTTTATCTAGCACAAATAACAAGAATTCGAAAATGTTAAAAAAAATGTAGCTATTTGTTGCAGATTTATATTTTCTTAAGAACAATTATGTATTTTCTTTACATCAATTGATTCTTCTCATTATTCTGTGCATAAATGTGAAGTAAGATAGTCGAAAAATAAATATTTTACAATTAGAAATATTTTATAGTTGGTGTAAAATTATGTCAACTTAAAGTATAAGATATCAAAATTAAATATAAACTATTCAATTTTTGGCTATCCTTTTAACTTTTTACATGGAATATGGGGGAGGCCTTAACGCCTACCCTCAAAGTCAATTAATATTTCCATCATTTTTTCCCCTCCAAACCCTACAACTTTTATTTGAATTTTTTTTTTAATACATTGTTTTCGAGATATTACAGTATCTAATTAAGTTAAAATGGGATAATGTCTGTATGTGTGTGTATAATTGTATTATGTTTCTATAACCGTATATATAATTGTAGAAATTATACAATAGCTATAAAAATTTGATAAATATGTTACAAAACTATTTACGTTCTTCATTTTATATATACAATTATTTTAGGTAAGAAATGAAAAGAATTGTGAAAATTTTCCAATGGTGCAACATGGCACAATTTTTTGCGAATTTGTTAAAAAAATGAGCTTGATCGTGACAACATACAATTAATTTAAAAATAAAAAATTAATTTATATAGGTTTTTTTCAATAATAATACATATTAGTTTTATATACAAATAGTAACTTTAATTAGAAAAGAATTACATTGTCATATGCGCTATTAAGAGGGTGCTGTTAGCACGCATCCACACATATCGATCGATGCCTAGTAGAGTAACTAGCACAATTGACCAATCAGAAAGTTCTAGTGTTTGACTAGCCAATTGGCAATGTGAGTTATCAGATTACCTCTCCCCTCCAATCTCATTATATATTTTACTGCCAGTTAAATATAAATTAAAAATGACGAAAAAATTCGATAGATATATTTTTTTTTTAATTTCAAGAAAATCGAGTTATTAGGAAATGAAATATCGATGTTCAATGTCACCTCGAAAAATATAGTTTCGAGAAAAACGCATTTAAAATTTTAAAATTGATTTTTTATATTATAAATCTGGAATGTATTTTAACTTACTTTTAAACATTTTATTCTAAGGCCATATATGTAAAATCCAAAAAGATTTTTAGCTTCTTCGATCTCTTCTCAAGCGTGATATGTGTATTTTATCATTTTTTTTATCCATTATGGCAGAAAAGAATCTTCTGCAATTATTATAATCACAAATAATTCTAATGGCAAGCAAATCGTAAACGAATTGCACATATTCGATTAAAGAATATTCAAGATCTAGATGTCTAATTCTTACGGTTTTGCTTCGCTATTTAAAATACTCTTTATTGAAATATGATCCTCCCTATTAAGATATGACTCTTCGTTCTAAATAAGATCTCCTAAAGATTTTGAAATCTACAAATATTTATTTCTAGAAATAAAGTCGAAAAATTGGACAATGTAACAATAATGTGCTAGAAGATCGCATACCTGCCACTAGAATGAACATATCTTCGTCAATTTTTATTATTTCCCTATGAAATTTGACAGGCATATTTTCAAAACTGGACACTTTCGGAAAAGTAAAAAAAAAATCGATATTTTGAAATTTTCACAGTGGTTTTCCTCCTTAAAAGAACATGATAATTTTAGGTCATATATCTAAAATAAATTTAATTATATGTATAAAATGTTTGATGATTAAAAAAAATCACAAAGTCAATATAGTGAAAATATTCACTCGAATCGAATTATTTCACGTACTATTTGTTCATACGCTTTGTAGGTAGCAATACATTTGCGTTAACCCTTTTACCGATTTTGCTGCGTGAAAGGCGCTTTCTACCTGTGACTCGACATGTCAATCGATGTGCATCGTCGAGGACCGTACAATATAATATCAAAACTGTTCAATCTAAGGATTAAACTATTGTACTCACAATTAGTTATATAGAAATAAGATTAGGAAATAATTTTATAAAACTGTTTTTACGATATATATATTTATATATGATTAAATAATTATTGTTAAAATTCTATATATATATAGGGTGTCTCATTTTAGTTAGAACGGGCTGATATCTCAAAGTAATAGGGTTTTAGAAAAAAATGTTTTAGACAAAATTTGTAGGGTTTCGAGGGAGACATAAGATGTTATTAGTTATATATATTGGGTATATATATATATATATATATATATATATATATGTATGTATAATATAATCAATGTACTGCATTCTCTTTCTCAACTAAAAAAAAATTAAATTTTATTAGAATGTTGAATTTTTGGCACACAATGATTGTTAAATCAATAGTTGTAAAATATAAAAATTCAAGAAATATTATAATACTAAGAAACATTTTTTAAAGATAATTTAGAGATATCGCACAAAATGCAGTTGCATTAAATATAATGTTTTGAAATACATAATAGCTATAATATATAACTATTATATGTACTTATTTATAACTTATTTATAACTTTTATGTGATATCTCTAAATTATCTTTAATAAATGTTTCTTATAATATAGTTCCTTATAATATTTCTTCAATTTTTATAGTTATATTTTATAATTATTGGTTTGACAATCATTGTGTGCCAAAAATTCAACATTCTAATAAAATTCAATTTTTTTTTTAGTTGAAAAGAATGCAGTACATTGATTATTTGTGTTGATTATATGTATTGCGAAAAATATAGAAATTGCACATTATTATGAGTAATAAAATTTCTATGATAATGATAGAGCAACAAACTAGAGAACAATTTAATGAATATACATATGTACTAGAAATAGAATATAGACTAAATAATTATTTAATATTATATTCTTCATATCATATTCTTATTTAATTTAAGGAAAATGATATTAAATGTATTTAACATCTTTTTCTTTAAGTTGACTCTCAATGTGAATACCAGAAAATGTGTAAAACTATTTTATTGCAAATATATCGTTATCAAATAAAAATTAATAATTGTTTATAAATATTTTTTAAATCTTTATTATTACTTAATTACAAAATTATCATAATTAATTGCAAATAAATGTATAAGATTTATAAGAGGAAATAATTTTTGAATTTAAAAATCTAATACAATTTAAATTTGATTGCAGATTTAAAAGGTGCTTCAACGATTAGAAATATTTCAAAATTCTTCCAATCATGCCGATGGAATTTTTAGACCGATTACCGGTTCCGAACCTCCGGTTATACACCACCATAAGCTTCGCCATATTATCCTGTTCTATATATTATGCCACTCAAATAATCAAGGATCCTGCTTGGAGAACGAATCACACGCATATCGATGCTATAACCAGAGATGAAATCAATCCGACGGATCCGAGAAGTCTTGGCATGCATTTCAAAGAACTTTTAGAATGTATGGTTGATGAACCTGTCTGCATATGGGTATGATTATTCAAAATTACTGAATTTGAAAACATGTATTTTAAATATAAAATACGTATATGTATTTAAATCTTTCATGTATTCCTTATTTGAATCTTTCGCATTTTTCAAAGATTTTTTGATAATCAAAAATTTTGAAATATGTTCTTCTAAATTCTACCAATATCTAAAGTATATGTACTTTTAAATTTTACAACACATACATATTATTATGTATAGCAAACAAAATTTTATAAAAATCCTTTATATCATCTACTTTTTAGTTATAAAAATTATGAAATTTTTTAAACATTTTTCGTTTTTTTTTAATAATAAAGTAAAGATGCATTAATTATTATATATCGTGAAAAAATGACGATTAAACAGATGATTTATGTAAGGAGAAATTTAATAACAGTTTTACATGATATTAATGTATTTGCATCATGCGATCTAAATAAAATCGATAGTTCTGATGTCTAATGATTTTTTTTCTATTTGAAAAAAAAATCAATATTTCCTGATTGTTACACAACAGCTTGAACACTACATTTTCTTCTTTCTATTTCATAACATTAAGTATCTTGTTATAAGTTCAAGATTATGCAACTATTGCGATTATGTCTAGCTATATTGAATAGATATTCTAAACTGAGTTATGCATTATACTATATTTAGGAAACTCTTAATGCAAAACTTGTGTTCCACGTTCCGCATTTGTGTTATGTAAATGTAATACTTTGCTTCTGTGTTATACACAACATAATAAAAGAAAAAGTTCAAATAAAATACTATTTCGAGATGAAGGATTCCACATTATTGCACTTGTTATTTGATAACAATATTATTTAGTAATTGAGCGAATTTAGTCATTATTAATGAATACTAATACACTTATCATAATTACCCTATCTAAAATATTGTGTTTAATATTTCCCGTTGCGAAATACTTTTGTGCGAAAAGAGAAAGTACGTAATCAGTATATTATACAACATTATGTAATTTTTTAACATTGTCTGATGTATTAGAAAAATTAAACATATTTTATGAATTTAAAAAATTATTTTTTGTGTAGCAAGATAAAGTGAAAAAGTCTTCATATATTTAATTCGATATTTTTCAATACATAATAATATTAAAAAGATAATATATTTAAAAGTTTAATTTAATTTAATATCAAATAAATGTAAAATAATTTGCATAATTTTATTAAAATTTTCTTTTTCTATTTTATGACGTATTTCAACTTTTCACGTCAAAATCTTCCAACAATTTGCACTTTAAATAATTCACATATTTCGAAATATTTGGCAGACATTGAAACAGAAAATTTGAGTTTTAAAATTAGATGGCCTTTTTGCTAGTTGGCAACAAACAATATAGTTATTGCGACTATTCATTATTTGTGTAGCATACATATCAGAAAACATTTATTTTATTTTGTTTTTAATATGCATAAGATACCAAGAGCTAGTTGTGGAAAAAAAAACTATGAATTAAAATCTAATTAAAATGTATAATTTATTTCTTATAATTTATTTCTTATTATGTATAAAAATTAAAATTATCATTACTAAAAGGACTGAAATTAGATTTACAAGATTCATATGCCAATTAATAAATTTTTATTAAAAAATTTTAAATATTTTCGAATTATGTTGAAGAATATAACTGTGTACGTGTATAAATGCGAGAAATTTTTTAAGAAAATTATAATATATATTTTTTTTATTTTGTAGATATTTCTAATAAATTACATATTTTCATATGATATATCTATTATATATTTAATAACAACCTTTTTTTATCCATAGACTTTGATCAACATGGCTTATTGTGTGTTGATTCTTCTTGGCAAATCTATTCAGAAGCTTGTGTTTGGCGAACTACGTGTTTCGGAAAGACAACATTTGAAGGATAAATTTTGGAATTTTGTTTTTTACAAATTTATTTTTGTTTTTGGCGTTTTGAATGTACAATACATGGATGAGGTCGTACTCTGGTGGGCATGGTTTACGGCACTCGGCTTTCTGAGTCTTCTTAGTCAGCTTTGCAAGGACCGATTTGAATACGTGAGTATAATAATAAAAATGAAAGTATCGTAGAGAAATATTTTAGCCACCTCTCATCTTGCAAAATATAAAAACATTTTTTATTACGCATTTAGTTACGCACACACGCATGCACGCTCAGTAATTTGTGCATGTACACTCACTCATACACATGCTCATTTATTCACTCACATATACAAATATTAACGTAAGATAAAAGTTGGTACATATTTTAAAATGTTTGGTTAAAAATATTTAAGATTTAACAATTAATAAATTGTTATACATTTCAAGAAAAATAATGCTCAATTTATAATTTTTATATTTCAGTTATCTTTTTCACCTACCACACCAGGATGGAGTCATGCACGACTTCTCGGATTATTGGCGGCAATTCTTGCTCTATCTTCATTCATGCTTCTATTATGTACTGCAGCAGTCTTTTTCTTCATATCTTTCAACACTTTTGCTTTTATGGCAGCTGAGGTAAATCGTAGCACTGTATACAGTCATCATTATCAGAATATTATTCAATTTTTAATGTTATTTATTTATACAAAATTAAAAAGATTAAAATTCTAGATAAAAGATAATGTGTGTTTAAAAGATAATGTGATAAAAGATAATGTGTGTTTAAAAATAACTAAGAAGTACTATTATAATTTTTCAATTCATTTGAAGCTTAGTTTAGAGTTTATAGCAAAAAAGTTTTTTTTTTCTTTTTTTCTTTCAAAAACGTTTTCAAATTGCTTATAATTTGGAAACGTTTTTTTCGTCAAGAAAAAGTATTAATTTCAAATTCAACATTGTTTAAATTAAAAATCTGTTAATAATGTAATAATAATATTAAAAAATTTATATACATGTATTTCTTGTTCTTTCTTAAACAAATAAAGCTCAGATACAAATAATATGTAGAAATGAATGAAAAACTCAAAATCACATTTCTTTTTAAATATAAAAAATATATTTTATTATATTATTTTATTATACTTTATTTAAATTACATCAAATTGGTTCTCAATTATAATTTAAGAATCTCTTACATTTTAAAATAAGATTGAAAGAGAAATGCAAAATTTATTACATAAAAGCAACCTAATACTTGATTAATCTTATCTAGTTTATAATGATTATTTATTCCGGTCTATAACAGTGCATCCTGCTTGGAGTACGTACTATTCATGTGATGCTACGTTATGTAATTCATTTGTATGATACACGTGGCGCTGGTACTTCAGCACAACGCTCCTGGGATAAACGTGGTCCTTTGACTTACTATACGGATTTAATTTCGGAATTGATTGTGTTGGCAGTCGACTTTCTTCATCATTGTCACATGCTTTTATGGAGTAACATTTTTCTGAGCATGGCATCATTAGTGATTTGTATGCAACTTAGATATCTATTTTACGAGATACAACGGAGAATCACGAAGCACAGGAATTATTTAGCTGTATTAAATCATATGGAGCAAAAGTATGTAATATACTTATGTTATAATATTAGTGTGATTGCATTATTAATTTTATCATAACATTAGAATTATTTGAAGTAAATTCAAAGACGTATACACGAAACATATAAAAACTAATAATTTTTAAAAAAATGAAATTACAATTTTTTGAAATAGTTGTAATTTCTTGCATTTTTAGTTATCCAATGGCTTCGCAAGATGAATTAGCCGAGAACTCTGATAATTGTGCGATATGTTGGGAAAAAATGGAAAGCGCTCGTAAGTTACCCTGCGCACACTTGTTTCACAATTCGTGCTTACAATCCTGGTTAGAACAGGACACATCGTGTCCCACTTGCCGATTGGCCTTGAGTATGCAAGCAAATCATAGGGAGAATACTCCGGAAATACCACCTGAACCACAGACGCCTACAAGAAGAAATGGCAATCATTTTTTTCTCTTTCTCGACGGCTCAAGATATGTATCTTGGTTACCTAGTTTTTCCGTCGAAGTCTCACATAACAGACTACGTGGTAACATCTCTACATTGGCACATACTAATTCTCAGATGGACGCTATGGCAAGACAGGTATTTGTTTTTATAAAATTTAAATTTTGAGTTGTATAAGACTGAGTTATATGAATTTTTATTTTATACAAAATATTTTATAGAAAATTTTATAAAAATTGTTTATTTTATTAATTGTTAATTGTTAATTTCTAAAAAGGAGAGCACAATATATATTAAGTAACTATATTTGCGGAAATAACAAAAAAGAAAAAAACATTCTTTGTTAGGTTCAGCAACTTTTCCCTCATTATCCTCGCAATGTGATTCTGGAAGATCTTAGAATGACTCGATCAATCGAATGGACAATTGAAAATATACTTGATGGAGTATTAACTATACCGCATCATGTAATCGAAGAACCACAAGCAGAATCCGTCCCACAGACGCAAATGAGCATGACAAATATTATGCCTAGTTCTTCAGTCCAAAATTCGTCGGATCCTAGATTCGATATTCCATTTGCTGATAGGTAATGAAGATATAAAAAATAATTTATATTTAAAATATAAAAAATAAATTATTGTATAGAAAATATTGTATATCCTAGCATTTTTATTTATTAATAATTGTTCTGATTACACGTATGAATTTGTTATTATTTTATTTGCTATTAGTTTATTTAACGACTTTTGTTAGAAATTTAAAAAATATCAAATCTTCTCTAAAGAAACATCATAAACTGATATTATTTGAACAAATATAAACATAATTGTTACATAATTGTTTTAAATGCATATATTGGAGATTAGGAATCTTAAATAAAAAATCAAGAACCTAGAGAGATAAAAAAATGTTTCATGCTAATAATTTAGCTAATAATCATTTCTTAAGTAAAATTTATATATATATATATATATATATATATATATATATATATGCACACACATATTATTTTTGTAGTGGAGAAGAACCTTCCAATCTTGGTGGACGTTTCTCGAAATCCTCTGCTGAAAGAGAACTTATACTTCAACGACGAAAAGAACATATGCGATTAACAGCACGTAGAAGATATCTAGAGAAGCATCGGAAATCTGAAATTGAATCGACAAATTTATAGATAATGAATATTGAAAATATTATATCTTAAATAAAATAAAAGCAGCCATATAAGATTTGTTATATTATTTTGAATTTAGTTCAGTTTAGAGTGTTTTATAGTTGATGTAAAATTGGCAGGCTGCAAATTTTTTCTTTTCAGATAAACAAGATTATAGACAACATATGTACTCTTTGCTGATGACTGATCATTAAATACAGCAAGAGTGTAATGAAAAATGTTTTGCGTATTTAACAATTAGTGCTCTTAATGTTCCAAAAAAAAAAAAGAAAAAAAAGAAACGGCAAGTTAAAGTCACAATCAAGAGATTAGGCATGACAATTTTGCTAAGAATATCGAGAGGTTGTGAATGATATACTCATAAACGATTATTAACATTGTGCTAACCACTCAATGTTGTAGTGATGAAAAATCTACAATGAGTCAAATAAATTAGAGGATGAAAGATTAAGATTTTTACGCAATCTTACTTAAACACCATACCATTGGTGAAACTTACTAATGCCTACAGTGATGTATAATACATACAGTTTAGAAAATAAATTGTTAGAAGATACAGTTAATCTTATTAAGGGCTCTTTGATAAAGCTTATATAAGTTGCATTGTCATTCACTTTTGAACAGATTAAAATCTTATTTTAAATTATCTTAATTTTCTTGTACAATACTCCTCATATAATTTTTAAGATAACAGTAAATAATTTACATACAAATACATCAGAGTATAATCTTTAATTGTAATAATTATACCAAATCTTAATTTAATGTATGTATTTAGTGCCATAAGTGAAGTGAAAGTGTGAAATGTGCCAATTTAATAAGCATTGATTTAGTTATACTTAGTAGAATTTTAATAATTGCTTGAAAAAGAAAAAGAATTGGATATACATATACATACAAAATTGATGTGTGTTATATATATATATATATATATATATATATATATATATTTATATTTATATTTATATTTATATTTATATATTCGGAAATGTTTCCTTAAAATTTGACTGTATCTTTGTCAAAATTTTGTTGTAAAATTCATATTATTATATTTTAATCTAAAATTGATGATTATACTTTCTCTCTCTCTCTCTCTCTTTCTCTCTCTAAAGTATATGTAAATTATTTCACAAAAATTTTAAAATAACAAATTGTAAATATTGTGTAAAATTTGGTTTCATGTATAATATGGAATAGAGTCTGGAAATTTATTAAATTTGAATATTTTCATGGAGTATTTAATAATATTGAATATAAAATTGAAAAATTGAAAATTTCATTCAATTTTTTAAAATTGAAAAAACGTAATCGTAAAATTTTATATAGAGTTCAGATTTTTTTTATATTAGAAGTACCCAATAATAATCCTAACATTTATTCACAAATAAAGAAAATGCGACATTTGCAGAAAATTCTTTGTCACACATATCTATAATACCAGAAATTAAGCTCATCAAAATTATATATTTATTTTTATCATAATAGCATATAAAGAAACTATCCTAATAGTAGAATTTATTAAATTTATTAAATTATAGTCATATAATCTTATATAAAAGCGATATTAGTCATAAAAGATACATAATTTATCATGTTGTTCAATATTGTTTAAACTAAAAATTATTCTTCATTGCTTTTGCATCGTAAAGGGAATTTATCTCTGAAAAAGTTTAATATAAAACATTATCTTTTAAGCTCTATATAATAATTAATGAGTAACTTTTATTGTATTTGAGCATTATTTTTAATTTTACACATTAACATTTACACACACATATACACACGTTTTCGAGAAAAAAAGAATATATATACTTTAATATTTTACGGCTTATTAATTACATCTACATATTAATAACATCAACAATCTAATATTAATAACATCTACACTTTCAGTTTCAAATTTATGATTATGTGATAGAATTTGTGACACAAAGATTTATGTATATTCGTATATGCACACATGTACGCATTCATAACATATATTCAAAAATATTTGTAGGATATAAATATGTAATGTTCTGCAATTCGCAATCATTTTTAATGACAGGTTTTCTGAAATTTTCAATATTATATTTTAATAATCAACTTTTTAATTAAAGTTCTATTTTTCAAAATTCATTTAAAATTAATTAAATATTATATCGTTATCTACTCATTTCTTTAAAGTTTGAAAAATCTTTTTTTTTTTTCATTGATTTGTAATTCCTAAATTATAAACGCTTTAACATTTTCGCTCAAAGAAAATAGATTTCAAATTCATCAAAATATCTTTTAAAATTAAGATTGCAAATTGTAGATCATTTTATCTGTACAATATTCGTACATTATAAAAATTAGTGTAAATCTACACCTAATAAATGAGGAAAAATTTATTTTATTAAAATCAGCGCGGACATTTACTATTATATTGAAACTATATGCATTCATCAAAATATTTATTTTATCAATGTGTAAGAGTTGCATACAAATGGGAAATAAGTGATAAACTATTGTAAGATAATTTTTGTTTGAGGCAATTTTTTTCATTGTAATTTTTATATTGTATAAAATTTATTATTTTTGTTAGAACTCTCTCGCCTCCCTACAATATTATATTAATAATAATTGCTTTTCTCAAAATGTTTAAATTATATTATTTCATAAAAGTAAATCTCATTAAAAATTATTAAAATAATTTAATTTATATTTTTATTATATTTGCCTCACATGTAAATAAAATATGGAAAATTAGAAATGAATATTTTCATACAACTAAAGATTAATTGAATTATATTATTTCTAAGAAATATAATATCTAGCTGGTTGAAGAAGGGTACTAAGTTAAAAAAACAGTCCAATAATGCTTTTCTAAATCTCTCAAAAAGTTATATCTAGTAGATTATGAATTTTTCCTTACGCACTTTGTAAATATGAGAGGTGTCCTATATCTTCTCTAATGTTATATTTATCTTTCACTTGGCATTGTACACAATCAATAAGATAAATAAAATGTATTATAGATTGTTGTAGTTATATTTACCTATTCTAAATAATATATAAAAATTCCTATATAATTGTTGGTATATAATAAATACATTTTATTATTGTATGCTAAAATAATAAGAGAAGTAGATGACTAAAAGATTACATAAAAATATTATTTTAAAAACCTTAATAAAAACCAATCTTTTTAATTTTATGAATAAAAACAATAACATAATTCTCTAAATATATATATCAACATGTATATTATAGTATATATTATATATAAATTCTATATATTTATAAGAAATATAAAACAATAAATGAAACAGAGGAGACTTTATACAAATAGTAAGTAAATACAAAAAGGATAGAATAAAACTTTCACGCAAGGCTTTGTTTCCAATTAATTTTGTATGAAAAAATGTTACTCAACATTTTTAACTTATATTAAGAAAAATTATTTTTATTTTGTCTGTACAGTTTTTAATACATCCAGTATAGACATAAGAATTAATAGTGACATATAATATTTGTAATTATAGAAAAACTGATTTTGATTAACATTATTATTGAAAAAATATTTAGTAATATTTGATATGTATTAATATTCTAATATATTTAATTATATATATATATATATATATATATATATATATATATATACGTCATTCATTATTCAGAAACATTATAGCACTCTTATAATTCTTAACATACATTTAATATATAGTGAATCAATCTTTTTCGTTTTGCATAATTTCCAATCTTTCCAATTCTCAATCATTTAATTACATCTATATATGTGCAATTAAACAATTGGGTATTGAAAGAATATATCATCTAATAAATTTATATTGCACATAAAGCATTTTTATACCTCTTTTTTTATTCATTATACAAAGATTTACATATAAATCTATATACATGCATATTTAATATAAACAAGATGGTAAAATAATTTCATATATTATCTCTCCGTTAAAAAAAGAGAAGAGAAAAAACAATTATTTTCATTAATTTTATTAAATAATTATGAATTATAATCACAAATACAAAAAAGCATGATATATATCAGAAATATATATATTCTTTAACATACATAATACATTGATTTATTTTAATAAACATATTGTATCTTGTGTACCTTTTATCCAATAAAATTCATTATAACAATATGTAAAATAATATGTGCAAAGATAAAGTCTGCAAATCCTCTTTCTGGGCTTATGCCGTGAAATTGACTTTTATTCTGTGGGTTAACTTGCAATCGAAGACAAACTGAAACAAAATAAATATACACACTTATATATATATATATATATATGTATATTTACATTTACAAATTATGTATCAAGAGACTATTACTTTATGTGTAATAAAATATTAGATTATGCAACAATCAATTCAATTCATTGAAAATAAATGAAGATGAATATGGCTACTAAAATAAAAATTTTTTAATAAAATATATTTAATATGTTCTTAATAAAATATATTTAATATGTTCTTAGTACATATATATATCAAAAATATTTCAAATAGACATATAATTGATGACATAGAATTGATTAAATAATTTCTGAAGCATGCAAAAAAGATGCAGAGCAAATAAAATGATACAAATAACACATTACCTCCTAGAATGAAGCAGGATACACAAGATATGAAACCACTGAGAAAACTATTGAAAGGAAATGTGCCGACAAGACAACAATAAATGAATTGAGTAACACCCGTAAGAAACACGTACAATAAGTACGCATCGATAATTTTGAGTTTCTTAGGTGTATTTTTCGCATATTCCAACCAAAATTTATGTAATACTGCTAATGCTGTCATATTTGTTGGTTTTTCTAAGATATTAGGAAATAAAAATCCAAAATTTTCTTGCGAACAAATACCGGGTTGACTGAGTGACACGTATATACTCGTGTACAACACGAACAGCTTTAGAGAAATAAGGAACAGAGAGAAGAACGAGAGATGTCATGCTCCGCTTTTAGGTGATACCTGAAAGTGATGCGTCCTCTATAAACATAAAACATGAACATGAACCACGAAGTCACAACTACGAATGTTTTCAGTAGGAAACACACAATTTCGGGTTGTGTTCCACGCTACGTGAATCTCGATAACACAAGCGTTGTAAAGCAAAACGTTTGTATATTAAATAAATTTCTAATATAAATAAATTTTGTGGTCTCTCTCTCTCTCTCTCTTATTATTAAGTATAAATAGTTATTAAAATATAATAATAATAACATGTAATGTGAATATTTAATAATTTTTGATTTTATTATATAAATTACTTTTTTTTATTATTTAATTTTAGCCATAAAAAAATAACTAAAATATATGTTTTTGAAATAGTCTTTCATATTAGTCATATCTGTAATTCGAAAAGTATTAAAAATGTAACAATAATGTAAAAGTTTTCTAGGCCAATGTATATTATAAAAGTCTATATTATCAGATATATATAAAATATAAATTAATATTAGAGATAAAAAAGAGATGAAGATACATCGAACGAAAAGATGAGATGAATAGCGAAGTATGATTTCGCGAGATCGGGAGATCCTTAATAAGGAAAATCCGAACCGTTCCTTAATAAAACGAAAACCTTATTAAGGTTCTACCGAGACTCTTAATAAAGCGAAAACCTTATTAAGGTTCCCCAGAGACCTTTAATAAAGCGAAAACCTTATTTAAGTTCTCCCGAGACCCTTAATAAGGCGAAAACCTTATTAAGGTTCTCCAGAGACCATTAATAAGGCGAAAACCTTAATAAAACTATCCGGAGACCCTTAATAACGCGAAAAACTTAATAAGGTTCTCCGGAGACCCTTAATAACACGAAAACCTTAATAAGGTTCTCCGGAGACCCTTAATAACGCGAAAACCTTAATAAGTTTCTCCGGAGACCCTTAATAACGCAAAAACCTTAATAAAGTTCTCCGGAGACCCTTAATAACGCGAAAACCTTAATAAGGTTCTCGGGAGACCCTTAATAACGCGAAAACCTTAATAAGGTTCTCGAGAGACCCTTAATAACGCGAAAACCTTAATAAGGTTCTCCGGAGACCCTTAATAACGCGAAAACCTTAATAAGGGTCTCCAGAGAACTTTATTAAAGTTTTCGCGTTATTAAAAGTCTCCGGAGAATCTTATTAAGGTTTTCGCATTATTAAGGGTCTCCGGAGATCCTTAATAACGCGAAAACTTTAATAAGGTTCTCCGGAGACCCTTAATAACGCGAAAACCTTAATAAGGTTCTGCGGAGACTCTTACTAACGCGAAAATCTTAATAAGGTTCTCCGGAGACCCTTAATAACGCGAAAACCTTAATAAGGTTCTCCGGAGACCCTTAATAACGCGAAAACCTTAATAAGGTTCTCCGGAGACCCTTAATAACGCGAAAACTTTAATAAGGTTCTCCGGAGACCCTTAATAACGCGAAAACCTTAATAAGGTTCTCCGGAGACCCTTAATAAAGAGAAAACCTTAATAAGGTTCTCCGGAGACCCTTAATAACGCGAAAACCTTAATAAGGTTCTCCGGAGACCCTTAATAACGCGAAAACCTTAATAAGGTTCTGCGGAGACCCTTACTAACGCGAAAACCTTAATAAGGTTCTCCGGAGACCCTTAATAACGCGAAAACCTTAATAAGGTTCTCCGGAGACCCTTAATAACGCGAAAACCTTAATAAGGTTCTCCGAAGACCCTTAATAAAGAGAAAACCTTAATAAGGTTCTTCGGAGACCCTTAATAACGCGAAAACCTTAATAAGGTTCTCCGGAGACCCATAATAACGCCAAAACCTTAATAAGGTTCTCCGGAGACCCTTAATAACGCGAAAACCTTAATAAGGTTCTCCGGAGATCCTTAATAACGCGAAAACCTTAATAAGGTTCTCCGGATATCCTTAGTAACGCGAAAACCTTAATAAGGTTCTCCGGAGACACTTAATAACGCGAAAACCTTAATAAGGTTCTGCGGAGACCCTTACTAACGCGAAAACCTTAATAAGGTTCTCCGGAGACCCTTAATAACGCGAAAACCTTAATAAGGTTCTCCGAAGACCCTTAATAAAGAGAAAACCTTAATAAGGTTCTTCGGAGATCCTTAATAACGCGAAAACCTTAATAAGGTTCTCCGGAGACCCATAATAACGCCAAAACCTTAATAAGGTTCTCCGGAGACACTTAATAACGCGAAAACCTTAATAAGGTTCTCCGGAGACCCTTAATAACGCGAAAACCTTAATAAGGTTCTCCGGAGATCCTTAATAACGCGAAAATCTTAATAAGGTTCTCCGGAGACCCTTAATAACGCGAAAACCTTAATAAGGTTCTCCGGAGACCCTTAATAACGCGAAAACTTTAATAAGGTTCTCCGGAGACCCTTAATAACGCGAAAACCTTAATAAGGTTCTCCGGAGACCCTTAATAACGCGAAAACTTTAATAAGGTTCTCCGGAGACCCTTAATAACGCGAAAACCTTAATAAGGTTCTCCGGAGACCCTTAATAACGCGAAAACCTTAATAAGGTTCTCCGGAGACCCTTAATAACGCGAAAACCTTAATAAGGTTCTCCGGAGACCCTTAATAACGCGAAAACTTTAATAAGGTTCTCCGGAGACCCTTAATGACGCGAAAACCTTAATAAGGTTCTCCGGAGACCCTTAATAACGCGAAAACCTTAATAAGGTTCTCCGGAGACCCTTAATAAAAAGAAAACCTTAATAAGGTTCTCCGGAGACCCTTAATAACGCGAAAACCTTAATAAGGTTCTCCGGAGACCCTTAATAACGCGAAAACCTTAATAAGGTTCTGCGGAGACCCTTACTAACGCGAAAACCTTAATAAGGTTCTCCGGAGACCCTTAATAACGCGAAAACCTTAATAAGGTTCTCCGGAGACCCTTAATAACGCGAAAACCTTAATAAGGTTCTCCGAAGACCCCTAATAAAGAGAAAACCTTAATAAGGTTCTTCGGAGACCCTTAATAACGCGAAAACCTTAATAAGGTTCTCCGGAGACCCATAATAACGCCAAAACCTTAATAAGGTTCTCCGGAGACACTTAATAACGCGAAAACCTTAATAAGGTTCTCCGGAGACTCTTAATAACGCGAAAACTTTAATAAGGTTCTCCGGAGACCCTTAATAACGCGAAAACCTTAATAAGGTTCTCCGGAGACCCTTAATAACGCGAAAACCTTAATAAGGTTCTGCGGAGACCCTTACTAACGCGAAAACCTTAATAAGGTTCTCCGGAGACTCTTAATAATGCGAAAACCTTAATAAGGTTCTCCGAAGACCCTTAATAAAGAGAAAACCTTAATAAGGTTCTTCGGAGATCCTTAATAACGCGAAAACCTTAATAAGGTTCTCCGGAGACCCATAATAACGCCAAAACCTTAATAAGGTTCTTCGGAGACCCTTAATAACGCGAAAACCTTAATAAGGTTCTGCGGAGACCCTTACTAACGCGAAAACCTTAATAAGGTTCTCCGGAGACCCTTAATAACGCGAAAACTTTAATAAGGTACTCCGGAAAACCTTATTAAGGTTTTCGCGTTATTAAGGATCTCCGGAGAACCTTATTAAGGTTTTCGCGTTATTAAGGGTCTCCAGAGAACCTTATTAAGGTTTTCGCGTTATTAAGGGTCTCCGGAGAACCTTATTAAGGTTTTGGCGTTATTATGGGTCTCCGGAGAACCTTATTAAGGTTTTCGCGTTATTAAGGGTCTCCGAAGAACCTTATTAAGGTTTTCTCTTTATTAAGGGTCTCCGGAGAACCTTATTAAGGTTTTCGCGTTATTAAGGGTATCCGGAGAACCTTATTAAAGTTTTCGCGTTATTAAGGGTCTCCGGAGAACCTTATTAAGGTTTTCGCGTTATTAAGGGTCTCCGGAGAACCTTATTAAGATTTTCGCGTTATTAAGGATCTCCGGAGAACCTTATTAAGGTTTTCGCGTTATTAAGGGTCTCCGGAGAACCTTATTAAGGTTTTCGCGTTATTAAGTGTCTCCGGAGAACCTTATTAAGGTTTTGGCGTTATTATGGGTCTCCGGAGAACCTTATTAAGGTTTTCGCGTTATTAAGGATCTCCGAAGAACCTTATTAAGGTTTTCTCTTTATTAAGGGTCTTCGGAGAACCTTATTAAGGTTTTCGCGTTATTAAGGGTCTCCGGAGAACCTTATTAAGGTTTTCGCGTTAGTAAGGGTCTCCGCAGAATCTTATTAAGGTTTTCGCGTTATTAAGGGTCTCCGGAGAACCTTATTGAGGTTTTCGCGTTATTAAGGGTCTCCGGAGAACCTTATTAAAGTTTTCGCGTTATTAAGAGTCTCCGGAGAACCTTATTAAGGTTTTCGCGTTATTAAGGGTCTCCGGAGAACTTTATTAAAGTTTTCGCGTTATTAAGAGTCTCCGGAGAACCTTATTAAGGTTTTCGCGTTATTAAAGGTCTCCGGAGAACCTTATTAACGCGAAAACCTTAATAAGGTTCTGCAGAGATTCTTAATAACGCGAAAACCTTAATAAGGTTCTCCGGAGACCATTAATAACGCGAAAAGCTTAATAAGGTTCTCAAAAGACCCTTAATAACGCGAAAATCTTAATAAGGTTCTCCGGAGACCCTTAAGAACGGGAAAACCTTAATAAGGTTCTCCGGAGACCTTCAATAACGCGAAAACCTTAATAAGGGTCGCCGGAGAACCTTATTAAGGTTTTCGCTTTACTAAGGGTCTCCAGAGAAATTTATTAAAGTTCTCGCGTTATTAAGGGTCTCCGGAGAACCTTATTAAGGTTTTCGCGTTATTAAGGGTCTCCGAAGAAACTTATTATGGTTTTCGCGTTATTAAGGTTCTCCGGAGAACCTTATTAAGGTTTTCGCGTTATTAAGGGTCTCCGGAGAACCTTATTAAGGTTTTCGCGTTATTAAGGGT